AGATGTTGCATAAACATCTCAGTCATACATTCTGGCCGAAGACATAATGAACACAAATGTTTGACTAATTGAAATGTAGTTTAGCTGATGAGAGTACCTGACCCACTATCTATCAGCAATATGTAGGATTACCGGTGAAGCGATGTTTTACAAAGACATTCATAAATACTACTTGTTTAGATTCTTTCTTGTAACCAAAAGTATAATCGTGAAGAGTACTCACATTTCTACGGATTAACCCAACTAAAAAACCGTTGTCGATTAAAATAAAATTTGAACCACCATTTCTAGATAGAAGTTAACGTAACATCTGGTTGGCTGAATCTATAAGTATATTCGAATTCAAACTAGTGATAAATAGATCTCAAGTAAGTAACCAAACTTCAGTGTTTTTCATTATTTCAAATGTTTTTTGCGATTTATATTTACAGATAACCGGATTTTTTCAAGTTCTTCAACTCAGTGCTTCAATCACTGCACCCCTGCCATCTCTCAGTAGGTGCATCTTACCCAATCCTTAAAGGGATCACCTGTCATGTCTAACAAACGCAAATCCAACACAAAAGATGAATCATCTGATTCTTCCCTCTCAGATCTCGAGGAGGTATTTTTATACATTATTTATTGTACTTTTAGCCTGTTGTAGCTAAAAAACCTAACAAGTCAAGTGGCTCCACAAAGTCATCACACGTGACTACTTCAGGTGGAGACCAGCTAATAGACTTAACTGGAAAAAAGTTCGCGTGCGTAAGAGAGTTCAGAGGGAAAGCGTTTGTCGATATAAGGGAATACTATGAAGACAAATCCAGTGGAGAATTAAAACCTGGAAAGAAAGGTAAGCGAACTCATCCTACCAATTACAGAAATACAATGTATGTGCGGCTAAACACATGTAAAAAATTAAACTAAACAGTAAATTCAGCATATCGATACATGCACTTTGCTTTTTATAAATATCAGATTTTGTTACGTATAAGGCTATTGCAATATGTAATTGCTTAACTTAATGCAGTGTATAAAAATCACCAATTAGTGATCTCAGTCAGTTATATGAAACTTGCAGCCTGATACATTTGCGTCAGTTCAAGTTGGGACAGCACAGCTAGTGGTCTGAGTCCCGTAGAAAAGTGCTGACTTCCTGCTTACAGTCCATGGATTAAGTCACAATTAATGGTAGAAAACGATATGATATGGCAGTTGAGGTCTAAGGATACTTATTTCAGGTCGTACATCAATTATGACTGACTAATATGGTTCAAAGTTTCACCAGCACATAAATCATTTATTCAGTGGTGGTCTATATATCCTTCGTTAAGCCACCCCTTGTCTGATAGCTAATGATGAAAAAAGGGTACATAAACTGTTGTAGTTGAGATGAGGTTCAAACATATAACTTATGGACCTTAAGTTGACTCATATCTTGCAGACTCAAGCCTGTTATAACAAATTTAGATCAGGTAACCGGATGTTAACCTTTAAAAAACATTCTCATTGTCGGGTACGTAGAATTGTTCTTGGTAAATTGTGTGATTACTTATTTATCATGTACCCTTAAATTTTGTTCACAGGAATTTCCCTTAATTTGGAACAATGGGAATATTTAAAAAGTTCAATTGGTGAATTAGATAATGACATAAGAAATCTGCGACGATAACTTTTCAAAAAACCACAGCTTCAAAATGTTTATATCAGCTGTATTTTTGATACATTCCCGATCACCTTAATACTAATAACTATTGCTTTGTGAAAAGTTGCCAGAAAAATCCTATTATTGAATTTAAAGATTGCATTTTGTTAGTTTTTTTTTATAAAAAATACAATTTATGGAGTTCTGTTTTTTCAACTTGATTGCTTTTGTGAGATTAATCAATGCAGGCTGCAGGTTATTTATTGTAAATATCTTCGACTTGTTACTCGCACATCGTGAAACGAACAAATGAGCAATGTTGAGACTAAGGTGGTAAACCTGTTGATTCATCTGTAAATTTTCACCGACTGAGATGGTTGGGATATAATCTATGGGTGTCTAACTACCCCCTACCTCGACGAGCCATGCTTTCCAGTGTAGCAGGAGGTTGAAAAGCTAAGAAAGACGGAAACAAGTCCTTGATCGTCGATCTAAGCCATGTTGGTAATTCCAGACTACCGGGTTGGGGTCTATGTAATATACGCGATCAGTGTTCGAAGACTTGGAGAGACAGCTGATGATCACTCAAAATAGTGCCCTCCATTTTTCTGTTGATCTTCAATCCTAACACTCCATACATATATTCCCATTGCTTTTTTGAACGACCCAGTTTTTAGTCTCATTAAAATTACTACGACATTACTTCGATTTCTCGCTTTTCATCTCGTGCTACTGTGGCGTGGCATCCTGAGGCAACACACATAATGATGGTAAGGAAGGGTATATGAAATTCTTAGTTATCCTCAAACTGACAGTCGGAGATATGAGAAAAATCCAACAATTTGTATGATCAAACATCTCACTGAACAGTGGCAACGAGGCCAACGCTGAAAACTACATGAAAGGTTTGCGGAAGTTTTAGCTACCGAAGGGGACTAACGATAACTGCAAAGTGCCCACCAACTACATTCCTACGGAAAATAAAATCTCTTGGTATAGATTAATTAAGATTAAAATGTCAATCGCTGCAGCTTCCCTTACGAACACTTATGCGGTATAGTTTACTAGTCTAAGCGTCGTTAGCACTTAGCTAAAACATCACAGAAAAGCTAGCTGTAAGCCGACAGAGGCAAGCTAACTCCACACTAGGAACGACTTATGTTTACACCTAAGAAATGATACTTATTTGGCTACAACTAGTGGAACTCAGTCATTTTTTGCACTAGGATAAACTCAACTTTGCCTTTTTTTGAGCTTATTTAACCCTCCGCTAACGTGTGGTATAAACAGAACCGTGGATCATCACATCGAAACTGGAAGAGTAACTTTAAGAAAAATGTTTACTTTTCATACGTTTTGTATGTATTTGCATTGAGACCATTCATTATTCCTTTCAGGATGCAACATAATACTTTCAGCACGTGTAACAACAACGGATTAGATGCATAAGTATCGCTGACCATTTCACATCACTCCATATTGTCAGCAACAAGACACGACTCTCAACATTACCCGTCAACTGCCTCTTCTATCCCACTTTAGGGATCAGTTGCACTCGCCTCCAGCCACACTTCAGTCGACCTGAATGACAAGTTGATATAAGTCGTCCAACTCCTAGTATTCGATCATAGGAGTCTTGGAAGCACTGCTCGTATATCCTGGAACCACCGAGTAAGTAATGCAATTGTTAGGAAACGGGTACTAGGTAAGGATGGCAAATCAATTGATGAAGTAGTGAGACTTCATCAGTTGAGATGACTGGGACATGTGTTACGTATGCCCAACCACCGACTGCCTCGGCGTGCGATGTTTTATGGTGTAGGAGTAGGTTGGAAGAAAGTTAAGGGGGGGGGCAAACCAAAACATGGCATAAATTCTCGAAGTCGTGGACAAGTGGACTGAGTCATGTTGGTAGGTGTAAACTACTTGGTTGGAGTCCGCGAAATGATAGCAACCGATGGTTAAAGACCCTGAATAACTGCTCAAAATCATTTGCAATGGCGCAGGAGCATCCACTCTTTGTGTTCTCCCAAATTCTTCTGAATCCCTCGTGTCCCTTTTTTCCTCTTTCCAGATTTATTTCATTTTATTATACTTGTTGAATAGCATTTTCAAGTCCTAATTTTACCGATTACTGCTTATACTTTTACTACCTCTACTACTATGGGATTTGAATCGACAATTGTATCTCTGTGCTAATGTGATATGGCAACTCGAACTGATGTATGTACGTACGAAGTTCTATGTTGTTGCCGACCGACCTACTATCCCACGTCTTACATTACTGAAGTTGGCTGTCAAAATCTCAATCCGTCGTTAATTTGACGAGTTTCCGAAGATATGGTTAATTACTGTAAATTTTTCTGCAGGTCGTGCATGTTATGTTGATGATCTAGATTTCTCTTACAGCTATATTTACAAGTGTCTTTCCATGATACTTATCTTTTTTATTACAAATAAATGAGGTTTAATATTAGGAATGGAATGTTAATTAACCATCCTAAACAGATAGTAAGAAAGATACTTTGATTTACATCGCATTTCTTATAGATATGACTCGTAATTAAATGTGGCTAAATAAACAAGAAACAATTCTTAGATCTCATAGGAATAAGTGATGATCTTCAACAGATGTCAGTGATTCAAGCACTAAACATTAAGCAAATGGGTGGCTGGTTCGGTTGCTGTTTAACATTATTAATTTTCGCGTAACAAGGTTATATTGGCAAAATAACTTAGAATGCATGACTATAAAAAACAGTTCTAAACAGACAAGTTGAATTTCATTTCACCAATATAGTGACTATACATGTTATCTACGATATGTCTTAATTAACACGTTTTGAAATCCTAGCATGGTAGTGATTGGAAAACTGCGTATAAAGACTGCATGAAAGGAAACGACTGACGATTAAATGACAGGTTACCATAAAGTACTCATTTACATAGAATGAATTGAAACCAAAAGGTAGAAATCTACTTTACAAAAAGTCGATGGATAAGAAATAAAAGCAATTCAATGCTTGTACTGTACACAAATAAAATACAAGTGATTATCATCATTATAGTAATAAAAACTGTCAATTGAACTAATTTGCACGAAATTCGTGTGCATATTTGAAAAAAATACATGGGGAAAGACTTTTCATACAAGTAATCACATGGTGTCTAAAAGTGAACTTCAATATTACCTCGAGACAGCTCACAAAAATATTGAAGCGGATAAACATGTTACAACAGGTCAACGGTTGGGAGTCTGTCTTCATGAGAAACCACAACTGTGCATAAGGAATGTTATATGCTAATGGGACTTATTACAAGCAAAATATGTCATGTTGTATGTGAGACCAGAGTAACAAAATGATAAGTGTATGAATAAAATAATCGGAGAAAAATACATTTGAATAACTGAATAAGGAAATGAAATCCTGACTGTTCAAGTCATTTATAATAATAATATTACTATTATTATTGTACGTACTTGGAGGACATAATACTACATCAAAAACATAATACATGAACTTATTTAACAATGGAACAGCTTTATCCATAAAGAAATAGCTACATTGGTGTTGGAAGGGTAGGAAGCTCAAAACTTCATATCATGCATCTTTGTTGAGAACAAACAACATTTCTGGCCTTGTCAAATCAATATCAAAAAATGATGGTGGATCATTCTGACATTTACGGGACCAGTCTGTAATCACTTCAGGTTCATCACAATCCATCTTATTGTCAGGAGTATCTATGTAATCTTCCACATCAGATTCTTCGAATGGTTGACATGGTATAATACGTTTAGGAAAATTGGATTGCACCTCGAATTCTGTTGGTGAATCATCCTGAGATAATACAAAATAGTAGAGCAGCTGGAAAAGAAAGATTAATGTTATGGAATGTACAGATGAATAACTTGATACGGTATGATTCAAAATGAAATATTTTGTAAAAAAAATCACTGAAAATTACCTTGATAGAATCGTTCAAGTTGAAGACGCGAGAAACTCTGGAACCACGTGGCATTTTGAATGATAGCTGTACTGTAGACCCCTCTTCAAACTTAGGTGGTGGTGGTAATCTACTTTGCCATATACGCTTGCGATTAATGTGAGCTTTTTTTAGATCCTCCTTTCGTTTTGCATCCTTGGCTAGCTGTTCCGCTACTAAGGCAGCACTTCGTTGCTGTGCCTCTCGAGCAGCCACTTTAGCTCGATCCTCAGCAAGTGATGCCTCATAAGCTAAGTCTTGCTCACGCCTCAATTGAGCATTCATTTCTCGTTCACTCCTGTTAAAAGAGGGAGTGGAGCGTAATATAATGAAACTAATAGGAAGTATGACAAAATTAAGAAAACCTAACGATTAATTTCTTAGCTATATCAAAAATAAAGAAATTGACAAGATATGGTTTGAACTTCGTGACCAGTACTGTAATGGTCTTTATTCACCTGTGCAGTTTATACTTTTAACATATAAGTTGTATGCATCAGAATAATTGTTAGATGTATCATGAAAAGCTATCTTTTTTAGAACGGATATTTATACCATTTCGATTTATATAAGCTTAGCTTGAAAGCATAAAAACAAGAGAACGCTAAGTATTAGTTCAGCATACGTAACACATGTCTTAACCAACTAAGTTGATGATTTACTACCTCATCAATCGATTCTTACCTAGTACCCTATTCCTAACCAAGATAATGGTTGCTCGATGATCCCAAACACACGGTCAACGTTTTGAAGACTGATAACATACGAATATCCTCTATTCTTAAGGGCCATGTTTCACATCCACAAAGTTGGATGGAGGGAACTGCCACGCAGTAAAATCATCACCTGGTTGGGAGACGAATATCCCATCTACGCCACAAGTGATACAAGTTGACGAAAGCCAATGGGCCTTCTAGATAACCATACAATGATTAAAATTTATTGTTCGAGAATTATGAATTTCATGGTTTTGTATCTTCCTGAATTCACGCAACACAAACAGACGGGTTACGTTCGTGAAATTAGTATGAAAAGAGATCATTAAAAACAACAGTAAATACTGAGAATTACAAACAATGTAATGATGCTAGTAAAAGATGTATGGTAAGGGGTTTTAGAGGAATGAACCCATCCAAGACAGCGGAATATTTGATACGTTACTGAAGGAAACCCTTCAGTCGGTTACAATAACTCAAGAATTGATTAAGCAACAAGTTTATGTCCAATTCAGTTATTAAAATTGAGTCACATGAGAACATTTGCGTTGTCGAACGTTCTTTTACTTCATACTTACTCGGTGTTAGATTGTGAATGGATGAAAATCAGTAAATTTGGTATTAGATATTGTAGACAACACAAACATCCGAATATTGGTTAGCATAAGCAAGTTATTTTTCGGTAACATGCAAAATAATGGTGTAGATTCATAGATTACACTGTAAGTTATATATATCATAAGAATCGGTTATAAATATAACCGACTAGCTCAATACATATAACATAAAGCGATGGTAGATTCGATGAATTTAAAACTGAATAGTGACTTTTTATGTACACAATGATAGCGTCTATTACGACAAACTTTCCAACTACCGAATAAAAATAATATTGATACGTCCATAGATAATAAAAGGGTACTAGATCACTATAATAACACATTTATTAACTATCATTCAGATAAATAGTTTATTCTTCAAAATTCACTTCGTTTATGTTAACTGAAAACTCAAGTAACACGAATTCCATATGAAAGTAAAAAAAAGCACCACAACAAAGTTACAATTGCATGCATATATATATAGATATTATCAAGTATAGATTACAACTCAGTCAGCTACAATGTGTTACCAAACACACATATGCATCGGTCCAAGTTGCCATAACTCATTAACACAACAAGATGAACACCGAATTCATAGAAGCAGCTACTTCAATGGTAGTAATATATGTAAATAATGATTGCATATACGGCGTGATACAAGGAGAAAGAATTAGATCGTAGAAAAAAAAGGTATACAGTAATTGTAATCTCATGGTTTAAGGGAAGACAAAAAGTGTATGCACCTATGCCATTATGATCGATTCTGAGCCACGTAATCCAGAGTCTCCAAACAAGAGTTACGATAGTCACGCGGACCCCGTTGTTCGAAGAAATTACGAGTTCACCTAAATCTGCGAGCGGAATGAAAACTCAGAGACACAATGACTAAATAAGCTCACTATTCGGATGCGTCCCAACCCTGCTAAAGAGAGAGAAGTCTAGGTTCAAAAGAGGGGAAATGTATTCCAAGAGCAGCCAGAAGCACGAACAACAACAAGCACAACTCAAGCGTATATATATATATAAAATTAAAATCTCCTTGGGAAACGTTACAAAATAGTGTATTGAATTTAAGTTGCGGTCGATTTACCCTGTGCTAATTGTTGTGTCCTTGACTGGAAAAATTAGAGAGCAGCGTATTTATCGATCGATTCAATGACACGTAAACACGTACGGACGGCCTAGAGTCTCGATTGGTCCCGCTTCCCTATCTAGCGCAGTCAGTTGAGTCCAGAACACAAGTCACAGACTCGGAGATATGAATCACTGTATTTCAGACATACTCTATTTATATACTAACCAAACATACCACATCGTACCATGAAAATAGAAAACAACATTTGTACAATATCTAACGGATGAAATAAATAATGGCCAATAGAAAATGTCCATTTAACGTCCAAGGACATCACTAGACTTAGCATAATAATGATTGGCACAATATTCTGCATCCACAACAAATAGCATATTAAAAGAGATAACGAACCAATAATATTTAAGGTTCTCTCAGCGGGAAATACGATACGAAGGGGAAAAATGGGCGTTTTTGACGCGAAAACAAGAAATTCAGATTTCAAAAATAAGACATTTACCAAGTGAGTTCTGGGGATCTAGCATCCCCAACATCTCCATCTAACAACACGGCTTAGACCAGAAGTTAGTAACTTTATGGACCGATGCCACGTTTTGGTTTGGTCGCCCCTAACATTCTTCCATTGGTCTCTAACGCTAATCAGCATTACGCTCCGTGGTTGAGCATGTGTAGTGCGTAGCCCAGCCAACTCAGCCGTTAAAGATTCACAACCTCATCAACTGATTTACCATCATTCCCCAATACCCTGAATCTCACCTAACTCCCCGACCGCTGTTGCTACCTTAACGTGGTGGTCGGGCTTGTCTATCGTGACGAAACAGTCGAGCTATACTGGCTGGAACAATCATTCCTCAGGGCCCTACCATGCCAGACAGGTCAGTTGAAGAACGGTAAGACTAGAAGCTGTATCCCCAAATTCCGAAGGCGAAGTCGTACTGCTGACTGTACAGAGGTGTGACGGCAGCAAGGTGTTTCCCCAGACAATCAGCATAACAGCGATGCTGCCTTCCCACAAAGAAGGATGGGGGCTAGAATAGATCGACCCTAAAGATGCACACCTCGCCTTATCCTACGGATATTCATCTCACACGGTAAGGTCTCAACAATTACAGAGCGAACACAAAAATTACTCACAAAAAGGTCGTATGTGACCGGCCTCAAGCAGTTGTCCCTTGGCTACTGTGGTCACGCTCTTAGAGTACTAATGTTGTGAATTTATGTCCGGCTTTGTATTACGTGATTTATCCACCAATCAAAATACGACTTATATAATCTTAGTACTGTGCCAAACCAATGATGTTCGACCGGTATGAGCAGCCTACCGTCCTTATTGGTCCTATGTCCGCCTAGCCCGTCCACTTGAGTCCAGAACACCAATACCAGCTTCCACTATATGAATCGAAATGAATCATTTATTTCAGACATACTGTGTTTATATATCAATCAAACAGACCACAACGCACCATAAAATAGGAAATAACATTTGTACACAGTAAAGCCAAAAAGTGGCTATGAACGTGGGAGGCAGTAGTTAATAAACTGAACATAGCTTAAGAACCGTAAATAGTACAATAATAAATTATAGTAATTTCAATGGTTAAGATCATGAGTCAGTTGAAGCTAGACTACCATGGAAAACCTGGAAGCACTGGACGGCCGTTTCGTCCTATTGTGCGACTCCTCAGCAGTGCGCATCCACGACCTCGCCTCCTGCGAGATTCGAGCCCAGGAACTACTGGTTTCGCGTGCGAGCACTTAACAACTAGACCACTGAACCGGCATCCAACGGTGTTAATGTCTAACTTCAACTAATCCACGAAATTGAGCGACACATTCACCATTGTCTTTAGTGAGTTACTATCTCACAACAGACCTGGTTGAACTCCACTGGTGAGAAGTAGTGACTGGTCACTATCGTTTACATAATAAACCAGAATTTCAGTTTATGACTTCTTCATAATGAATGCATCCATGACACTACGGCTAACAGAACGAAAAAACTTTATAGTGCGCTCTGGTTTACAATAACTCCACTTGATATATATCCATAACCAAAATCAACTTTAAATCACTTTGTTTATGATTCAATTAATTTTTGCACGAGGTGGGTCAAATTTGAACACTGGTGAAATATAATTTCATGAAAAAAAAGATATTTTGAGTTCTTTGACCTATATTCACAGAAGTAACTCATTAACCGTATGCAGACATACGTAGTCGATTATGAATAATACAATGTTGTGTGATGAATGGTGGCACTACTTAGTTGTACATACTGAATTAGTGTTTGAATCTGTGATCTATTACTTGAAAGTTGAGTGTTTTCAGTCATTCAGTCAGCTACAACGTAGGACCAGGCACATATGTGCATCGGTCCAGGTTGCCATACCTCATTAACACAACAAGATGAACACCAGATTCATAAAAGTAGTTAATTCAGAGGTGGTAATATATAAAAGAAAGATTCCATATAGGGACATAGTACAGGAAGAAAGATTTAGTACGTAGAAAGAAAGATATGAAGCGATTTTAATCTCACAGTTAAAAGGAAGACAAAGAGTGTACACACCTACGCCATTGTGATCGATTCTGAGTCATGTCACACAGTCTCCAACCATTGGTTACGATAGTCACGTGGATCCCAACCAAGTAGTCTGCATCTACCAACATGGCTCAGACTAGAAGTTAGTGACTTCAAACACTGATGCCACGTTTTGGTTTGGCAGCCCTTAACTTTCTTCCAACCATCCCCAACACCAGTTAGTATTGCACGTCGTGGTAATCGGTGTTCACGCATACGTAACACATAACCCAACCATCTCGGTCGATAAAGATTTACGACCTCACCAACTGATTTACCATCATTCCCTAATACCCTGCGTCTAACCTCACTATTACTTACCCGGTGATCCCAGCAGACGCCAGCAATATTTCTAAGGCATCTGTGGTCAAATACTTGTAGCTTACGGGTGTCTTCTACTCTTAATGGCCATGTTTCGCTGCCGTAAAGTAAGACAGAACAGACTGCCGCGCAGTATACTCGTCCTTTTATTGATAGACGGATATCTCGCCTCTGCCAAAGGTGACGTAAGTTGACAAAAGTCAAATGAGCTTTTCGAATCCGTGCTGAGATCTCGTCAGATACCAACTCATTAGGGCTGATCAGACTTCCAAGATAAGTGAAGTTGTCAACGCGTTCGACTACTTCACTGCCTATCCTTAGTTCAGGTGTTAACGCAGACCAGTCCTGAAGCAACAATGCACATGGGATCCAGTGATCTGGGGGAACAAATGGCGTATGAACCAATCGCTGGTCACTAGCTACCATGGGACTGCATCTGCCGACGTTGCTCGATTGTCTTGTGGATCAGAACTGTAGGTCGAAGGCTCCAGGTTTGGCCCCCTAAAAAAACCACCTGCTTCGGTTTTGAACATCCGGGCAATATCACAGCCATCACACAAACCAAATGAGATTTTTGTGGCTCATATGTATTTGGTGCATCGTGGTACCAATACCTATGTTTCCAAATAAAATAAAAAATAAAAAATTCCTTTTTTATAAAGAAAACTTACCGGTCTAATCGAGCTGTTATTATAGCTGTTTGATGTTCATTCAGTATACTATTCAACTGATCAACAAGTTCTGATGGTTCCAGTACACCTTCTATACGCCCTAGTAACGCCATTCGTGTACTACTTCCGGAATAGACCCCACTTTCCGAAACTAATGAAAAAATAATAATAAGAGAAGATTCTGTTGTCAAACAGTATGAAATTTAATCCACCCACGCGTCTATCGACAAATTATATCTGCATAAAGCTTAAGTCGGAAATCTAAGTCCAACATTCAAAGGAATAGGGTTGACAAATGATAAACGGATTTAATCTTAAATTACATTGGAAGCATTATATAGTTTAGTAATACATATATATTAAACAGTGATGAGAAAAAGAATGAGAATTACTCTAAACACAGTATTTATTGAGGTGAACCTATTTGGTACCGCATTGTACTTTTGAAAAAAACAACAGAAAACATATATATAGTTTTGTATTTATTCCAGTCATAGGTAGTGTAGGACCAGGGGCAAATATGTACTGAGCTAAGTTAATACAGTCAGTCACTCAGTCAGTAACAACGTAGAACTTCGTACGTACGTACATCAGTTCGAGTTGCCACACAGATGCAGTTGTTGATTTAAATACCGTAGTGATAGAGGTAATAAGAGTATAAGCAGTAATCGGGAAGATTAGGGTTTGGAGATGTTACTTAAAGAGTATAATACAGTGAAATAAATTTGGGAAGAGAAAAAAGAGACACGGAGGAATCACGAGATTAGAATTTGAGAGAACACAAAGAGTGGATGCCCCTGCGCCATTGCAAACGATTTTGAGCCATGTCATTCAGGGTCTCTAACTATCGTTTGCTATCATCTCGCGGTCCCCAACCAGGTAGTCTACACCTACCAACATGACTCAGTCCACTTGTCAGTGACTTCATGGACTTGTGCCATGTTTTGGTCTGGCCTCCCCTAGCTTTCTTCCAATCTACTCCTATACAACAAAACATCGCTCGTCGGGGCACTCAGTTGTTGGGTATATGTAACACATGTTCTAGCCATCCCAACTGATGAAGTTTCACAACTTAATCAATCGATTTGCCAACCTTACCTAGTACCCGTTTCCTAACAACTGCGTTACTTACCCGATGGTCCCAGGATATACGAGCAATGTTTCGAAGACACCTATGATCAAATACTAGTAACCTACGGATATCCTCTACTCTTACCGGCCACGTTTCACTGCCATAAAGTAGGACGGAACGAACTGCTGCGCAGTAAACACGTTCTTTGGTTGATAGACGGATATCTCGCCTACGCCATAAATGACGCAGGTTGGTAAAAGCTAGTCGAGCCTTCGGTATCCGTGCTGAGATTTCGTCACACACCAGACCACAAGGGCTGATGAGACTTTCAAGATAAGTGGAGCAGTCGACACGCTCAACTACTTCACTCCCTGTCATTAGTTCGGATGTCAATGCAACCCAATCCTGAAGCAACATTTCGCATTTCGAGGGGGAGAATCGCATCCCGGACATGCTTGCATTGTTGCTTAGAGTGGTCAGAAGACTCTGCATTTTGTCAGCGTTTTCACCAAATAGAACTATGTCATCGGCATATTCCAAGTCAACAAGTGAATCTCTCGGTAGAAGTTCAACCCCTGGAAATCTACACGAGGAAAGTGTTATCTCTAAAATTACGTCGACGACAAAGTTGAACAAGAATGGAAAGAGTGGACAGCCCTAACGAACACCACTTGAAGTAATCAATTCTGATGACAGTTCGTCATAAGCTCCCACTCTACCAGTTGTGTTCGAGTAGGGAGCCTTCACAAGGTTAATGCACTTCTTTGGTACCCCTTTCAGTGACAAACACTGCCATAGAACCTCACGATCAACAGAGTCGAATGCCGCCTTAAGGTCTGAACGTGTGTCTGTGTTCTAGAACCTGACGTAGTGTGATTAATTGGTCTATACAACCACGTCCAGGTCGAAAACAACCCTGATTTTCTCTAGTCTGTTCTTCATGAGCTTTGGTTAGGCGTCGAAGTATTATTGAAGCTAATATTTTAGATACTATATTTGTCAAACTGATTCCTCTGTGATTGTCACAAGAGGACTTTTGTCTTTCCTTATGAACTGGCACAATCAGTGATTGAGACCAGTTAGATGGGACTGTTTCCAGTTCCCAAATTCTACCTAAGACCTCAGTTAATCTCACTGCTAATACTGGACCACCATCCTTAAAAATCTCAGGAGTAAACCTGTCAGGGCCTGCTGATCTCCTTCGCTTCAGATTTCCTATGGCTTTTTCAACTTCGTAAAGAGACGGAGGACCTATATTAACTTGTCATTCAGGTTGACTGGAGATCGTGGGAAACCGAAGTGTGGCTGAAGGCCAGTTGAACTGATCCCTAAAGTGTTCTGCCCATCGATCCAATCTCCTGGATTGAGAATGTTTAATATGTCTATCTTTCTCTGAGAGTGTTTCGCTAACAGTCGGTTTCCTAATACCGGTTTCCTTAACGAGTCTGAACAATTGTCTGCTATTACCTATTGCCGCTGCCTTTTCCATCTCTCTTGCTTTTGCTACCCACCACTGTTCACGATCATTGCGTGGACTTCTTGTTAGTTTGCGCTTAAGCTGACTCCGCTCTTCATTATGTTCAAAGCCAGGTGGAATGAGTTTCCGAGGGTCTATCAGTGCGATAGATGCTGTTGAGATCCAGTGTTGCTCCCTAACATTCTGGTTTACCTTACTAGCAGATATCACTGCTGTTTCCACAGCTTTTCGGATATCATTCCATGCCGCCTCGGAGTGGGCATCACATACATGGCTGCCTAACTGTTTTCCTAGTTCTTCCTGAAATATACTCTTAGCTTGATCAGCATTAAGTAGGCCCCTAAGAGGTTTCCTTGCAGCGTCTTTCCTACGTCCAGTAAGACGCAGGCAAATACGCGCTTGTACTAGAGCATGATCTGAATTTAAGCATGTGCTCCAGAATGAGCAACAGTCTTCTATCGAGCCCCTCCATCGGTAGCTGATAGCGATGTGATCTATTTGGGTCCAACGTTGGGACGAATTGGGGAACCGCCATGTTAAAATATGTTTTTCCTTATGCTTAAAGTTAGTATTTGCAAGGAACAGGCGGTTATCTGAGCATAGCTGCAACAGACGGTCGCCACGATGCTATAAGATCCACCCAGGTGTCTTTCCCTATCGCTTAGTTTACCTACTTGAGCATTAAAGCCACCGGCCACTATTACTATATCCGAGAGAATAGGCGGAGACGACGAAGAGGCAACGACGAGTGTCCCTATCTTTTCGGATCCTTACTGTTCCGTTTAGTCGGGCAGCGCACAATTGACTGTCTACTGGGATCCAGTTTAAGAGAGCTAGTTCTGACCTAGGACTCAATGCTATACCTACGCCGGCGAGGCCACGGGAAGCAGAATCAGGACTTCCAGGTACACGAAGTGTGAATCGAGTCGGTTCTTTATTTTTGGCACGGTGAGATCAAATGAATGACGCTACTCGAATCCTGTATGCGCGTTTCGGAGACGCAGCACACATCGATGGAGCGGGATTCTAAAGTCTTAGTTAAGGAAGCCTGCTTTCCTATTTGGCACAGTGTTCGGATGTTAAAAGCTCCTACGTCGAGTTTAGAGCGTGGTTTCAGGAGACCAGGAATACCGTTCCGCGTACTCGAATCATTTGCCCTAGCGGTGCGAGATGATAAAGAAACGTGAGGAGGGTTAGTCATGGAGATAAGAGAGGTATTAGGAGGTGTAGGAAGGATTTGAATGTGACCAACCTGGTCTCGTGTGCTGTTACGGGTATGAGGGCTGATGGCACTTCCCGGATGCCCACACCGTGGAAGGGTATTTCTTGAGGAACCTGGAAAGGAAGTTAGACTAATGTTGGCCTTAACGACCTGGGAGCGTGACCGCAGAGCCCAAGGGACAACTACTTGAGGCCAGTCGCGCACGGCCTTTTTGTGGAAGGTTTTTATTGTGTTAGCTCCGTTCTTCAAAGGGCCTTACCGCCGGAGACGGAAATCCGTGAGGTAAGGTGAGGTGTGACAATTTTAGGGTTAACCTTTTCTAACCCCTTCCTTCCTTGTGAGAAGGTAGCATCGCTGCAGATGATGGTTGTCTGAGGGAAACACCTTACTGCTGTCACACCTCTGTACAGTCAGCAGTACGACTTCGCCCTCAGACCTTGAGTTGCTGATTTTAGTCTTACCGTTTTCCAATCGACCTGCCTGGCATGTCAGAACCTACAGGAACGTATGTTCCAGCCAATATAGTTCGGTTGGATCATCACGATAGGCAAGCCCGACCACCGCGTCAAGGTAGCAGCTTCGGTTGGGCACTTCACACATAAATAGTGACTTAGAAGAGATTAACAAGATGAGAAGTAGGAGAGGAGAAATAATGTCAACATCAACGGAAACGTAGACAAGAAACATGTAATTCAAAAATAAATATGGAACTTAAGAACAAAACCTTTAAATCATATAAAATTTCAGAAGCATCGGTTTTCATATGATGAAACCGATGAGTATACATAAGCTTAGTAAACTAAGTAATAAACAGCCAAAAACTTACTAAACTTGGAAACTACTGGGTTTAAAGATATTTGGTTCATTTATTTTTCAGGTATATTGAAAGTATTGAATGTATCTATACTAATATGATGGACCTTAATTCATAGTCACAGAACATTTTCACAAAGTTAAAAAACTTAAACTGGTTGATAGCAAAACTTAGTTTGTATTTCCGAGCCTGGCTAGGTCCACAAAACATTGTATACAAAAATTAGTTAAGTATGGAACTATTTTTCAAAAATACGTTAATGTTAAATCTATGACAACTTTCTCAGCATACAATTTTAAGAACATATTCTCTAACATGATATTACATAATGAATGTTTAGTATTGAATAAGTCCGGATTAATTCGTTGGCATGTGAGTGACAAATAACACTCCTTTTCTACAGTCATTTATGTATTAAGTGATGTCTAATCATGATGGTTTTGGTGCTAAGATTTATTATGCAATGGTTTATTTATTGTAAAAGTATGTATTATGTTAGCAGTTATGTTGCCTTTTGATATCAGTTCAGCCGAAAGCTTTTATCAATAATGTAGTCTCGTGAACATCTACCAGTCGACCACATTAGTTTACTGTGCATTAACTACCAAACAGTATTCTATTAATCAATCAAAACGTGATCATTGCAAATCCAAAACCTTTCTCCATAAAGAATATATAAATATAATTTCCGTAAATTCTAATGTGACTCATCTGGACCGAATCCACATCTTAAAACGGTAGTGTTCAGGTTTTGCCAACAGTTGTAAGACTTAGTCAATGACAAAAACAGTTAATAACTTAGTGCAGAATTAAATATTACTGCTTACTTGGTATATTAGTCAAGCCAATAACTCCAATGAACGGATAGGTATGCTCTCGAAGAGTTCGTGATACACGATAACCTTCAGGAGATTCAATATTACAACCCCAAAATAGTAATTCATTGGAATTTCTAAGAAACCGTAAAACATCTTCCGACTGAAGAATATCTCTGAAAGAGGACAGTATCATCAGATTAATTATTAATTTAACGGATAAATTATTACATAAAGGACGTAGGAATAAGTAAGAAAAGGATTTCAATACGAGGTTTATTACAATGCCATCTTTCCTCATTATAAACTATACAATGAGGACTAGTATGTACATTGGATCTTTAATTCGCATTTATATGACACCTGTCTTCCCTCATTTATACTTATTCACCTTCAAATGAGTGAAAAAATTCTTTTTGATCGTGACATTGAAAAGTACTTTTCCTTCACCACCACATCACATGCACGAACACGCTCCAACTTATATGACTAAATATTTAATTTATGAAATCCTTAAAAGCAAATCAAAGAACTAAATTATTAATCTACAGAGCACTTGCTCAAACTCGAATAGTTAACCTTATTATATTGACCTTTTTCAATTTTCTAGCATGCAATATTTTCAGTGGTGGAAGAAATATATAATGCAACCAATTTCGAAAGATTCAATGTTACATCATATGATTCAACACAAAAGTCCTTAAACTCTTAGTTAAATATAACTTAATCAAAATATCATTATACTAACTGACACGGAAACAACTGAACTTGTTACTATGATGGGAGTGTGCATATGTATAAATATAAGTGGTTCTATATAAAATAAATTCAGACAATTGGTATAGATAGAATATAAGTAAAATATTACTTGCAAAACCGATGAGTATCTTCATGTGAATCTCCATGTAAATAAACAATCAGAAATCGTAAACTTTGTTTAGCTTCTTGAACAGCATCAGCATAAGTTCCCTCGAAGAAAGGTGGAAATGAATCAGAAGTAGAACTTTCAGTTGGATTTGAATTACCATCAACGTCAAAACTAGTATTCACAGATCCGTAGGTTTCTTTGAAGTGCTGGATAAAATTTCTTACATCACCGACAGGATCTGTGACCTCTATAAATAATCAGCAATACGGATGTTAAAGGTAATGTGGGAAAAAAATTGAACAGCATCTAAATTAATCAAATGTTAAACACTTTATCAGTAACAGAACCTACTAATTCAGTTGGCCTGTCTGTAAGCGAAATTATAATCACATGATTTTAATTAACATTTGACTGAATGGGTGAGAAGAAACTGCGTGAATAACTCATACGTACTTGACACATTTGCAAGCTAACATAGAGGGTAGAAGGTTAGAATAAAATCTGACAGGTCAAATAAAAGCCAATGATAAAAGGTATGTATATAGTTGGTCAACAATTATCCGATAAGAATATATATAATTATTTACTTACGCCTAATACCCCTAGTGGAGAAGCATAGGCCTCCCACCAGCATTCGCCATCCAACATAATAATAGTCCCTAATAACTTATGGCAGTGACTATTCATTTATTCTTTGTCCGGATATAACACATATAGCCACATGTATATAAACACTACCAGAAAATTCCCATACACTGCCTATCCGTGGTGAGGGTGTTGTTCGTGAAGTGACAAGGACGAAAAGCGAATGTTCAGTGCTTAAACCAGGTTAGTAGGTACGAATGATACACCCATAACATTTTTGCTCTCCATTTATTGCTATGAAAAGCTTGTTTTGTGAGTTTACTCGGGGACCCTGTGGCATCTTCGTCTGGTTTTGCTGAGGTTGATGGTCGCACTAAGCAACAGAGGTGAGGAAGCACTAATCGATTGGATCTACATCAGAAGACGATTATGTGCCATTAGATTAAAGTGCCATCAAAGTAAGAAGTCAGTGTGATGTCTTTTCGTTATTCCCGTCAACGCTCCGATAGATTGCAGCTTAGGTGCAATCAATGATGAGTCCAACCACCAATTTAGTGATCTTCAGAAAGTGTTTGACAGATATTGTAGTACTAGCCGCAGATTTAAACGAGCAGGTCGTGCGTCTAGACACAGAGGAGAATCGTTCGGATGCTCAATGAAGACTTGTTGTTTGCAAGTTAGATAACAGTGGCCATCTACTGCACCTTTGCTTACACTACAACCTGGTGCTGGCTAGTACTAACTATTGGCACAGTCACGGCCGATGTGCCCTTTATCTCCAACTCAAGCCTGAACTCAGATTGATCACATCACGATCAGCTACCACGGAATAAGACTGTCGCTCCTTCTGAAGTACTTATTTGGACTCCGATCTTATCTTACAATAAATTCATCATCATGAACGGATCGAAGCACATTGGCTTTAGCTTCTGTTGCGACTAAATATCAAACTGATCTAGGTTCAAGGCTAGCTATCAACTAACTAAAATGTATAGATCACTGGCTGGGTTTACATGACACCTTGAAAATAGAGAGTAAAGTCGCTTGTGGCTTCATGAAGCGTTCCGTTTATAAGCAATGAAATTCCACAGGCTTCTTACAACTTATTCAAGCACTTTGGTCTACTCCTCCAAACAGTGAGTTAGACAACAAATGTAGATCTTCAGGTAATGAAATTGCATGTACAGACTGAGTTTGTTGGAGTGTGCTAATGAGTTGGAAGTAGAAGCTGTATCTGGCAACTGTCGGAAGCCCTTTCAATTTATCCGAGCCACTGGTAGCAAGAAGTCTAGTATGAGTGAAACAGTCTATAAAGCAGACAGGACGCCAATCAATAACACCCACCAACGTCTGGGACGATGGACAGAGTTCTTCGAGGAACAGTTTAACTGGTCTGCTGCCCCGGCGACATCGATCAGATTGTCACTTCCTTCATGATTAGTGACAATTCACCCACTTAACAGGTAGGAAGTTTGCAAAGAACTCAATCTCATGACGCGCCACAAATCACGAGACCCAGGTGAATTACCTCCGGTCCCTTTTAAGGATAGGGGCGACCTATGGGTTATAGAACTAAATGGATTATTCGCATACGTTTGGCAGTTAGAGTATCCCAACATCATGGAATGAATCAACAGTCATCCCCATCTTTAAAAGGGTTTACACCACCTATGAAACTTTTATTATATTATTTGTTATTTGAACACATAAGTATTGGTACAAAGGGGCACCGAATACATATGCGCCACACAAGTTACTTGATTTGTGTGATACTGCCCGGGTTCCAAAACCGGAGCAGGTGGTTTTCTTAGGAGGGCACACTCGAATGTTTTCCCAGCAAACCCCAGATCGTGCATTATTTCCCGACGCCTGGCCTGGATGGAAAAGATGGCCAATGCACGAAATGGTGTCGTGGTGTGAAAGGAAGCTGTACAGGACTAGTTTTTCGGTCATTCACAACTCTACTTGGGGTCCTAGAGATGGCGCAACACAGTGGCTTTAGACATTATCAGACACGGCTCAGAACGGAAGCCAGTGGAGGTCCTGGTGTAACTTTCTTCATATCATTGAGGACTTCTTTAACTGGAAGAACCCTTTCCAACTGTTTTTCTCTTAACTGAACTGCTCTTCCTAGAATTATATTTTTCACTTTCATACACTAATTCATTTTTCGTTCTTTTATTATTATACTTACCTTCATTTCTTGATCACTTCACAATATCATTTTTATTGTGTGGGGCATATATATTTTGGTGTACCTCAGTACCAGTGTTTGTGTTCAAATAACGATAATACTAACCTCGCTCCGTCAACTTTCGTTTGAAAACTTAATAAAATCAGTCCTGATATAGACAAAAATGTGGCTCAAAGACGGGTACATAAATTCATGCCTAGTAAGTCAGCTATTTTAAACTCAGAAAAACCGTGGGAAACTTGATACTATTTAAACACGCCTACGATTAGTGTAGATACTTTAAGAACACTTGCAAAACTAACCGGACAACCAGAAGTTGAAGTTCCATTCATAAAATCACTGTTCTGTAACCCAATGACTAATCTTCCCGAAACCCTAGATATTGCCGGAAGGCTTCGTATACATTTTACTAAACGAGAAAGTACTTGCAAAATAAGATTTCGGCTGTGGTTTAGTGAAAGATTATATGATCGATATACATTATTTTTACCCCATTAGTTTATTTTGCCAACTCCGCCTGTAGCTCTTATAGGGTTGCTGCCGGTCCCAAGCCCGGGTAAAGGAGGAGGGTTGGGCATGGGGTTAGCGTCCCCATCCCGTAGAAAACTAACTCGCTAAAAAAACGCTTACCAGAAAAAATAATCCAAACCATTTTAACTCTGCCCTGAGAGTTAGAAGGTCTTCATTTAGAAGAATTATGACGCTTCATGGTGAAAGCCGAGTTCCTTCGGAAGCCATGAGGCCGATGCCCCTTCTAACAACCAGAGCAAAAATTTTTATAGGTACATGGAACGTTCGAACAATGTGGGAAACCGGGAAGACCAGTCAAATATCAATGGAAATGAGGAGATACAACTTAGCAGTACTGGGAATCAGCGAAACTCACTGGACCCAAGCTGGACAGAAAAAGCTAGCTACAGGAGAGATGCTGCTATACTCCGGTCACGAAGAGGACAATGCTCCACACACTCAGGGAGTCGCTCTTATGCTGTCCAAAGTAGCACGAAATGCACTTATACGATGGGAATCTCACGGATCCAGAATCATCAAAGCATTATTCAAAACAAAGAAGGAGGGGATCTTAATGAATATTATCCAATGTTATGCACCCACCAATGATAGCAACGACGACATTAAAGATCAGTTCTACGAGCGGCTACAGTCAGTCATTGAGAAATGCCCAAGAAAGGACCTCACCATTCTAATGGGAGATCTAAATGCCAAAGTCGGAATAGACAACACCGGATATGAAGATATTATGGGACGACATGGACTGGGAGAAAGAAACGAAAATGGAGAAAGATTTGCAAATTTGTGTGCATTCAACAAATTGGTCATAGGAGGCACAATATTTACACACAAGCGTATACACAAGGCTACATGGATCTCACCGGACCACACTACAGAGAACCAAATAGATCATATTTGCATCAACAAAAAATTCCGAAGGACAATGGAAGATGTGAGAACCAGGAGAGGTGCTGACGTAGCTTCAGATCACCACCTAGTTGTAGCCAATTTAAAACTGAAGCTAAAAAAGAACTGGACAAATGGACAAACAGCAATACAAAGGTTCAATACAGCCTTCCTTCGAGATACTGTCAAACTCAATGAATTCAAGATAGCTCTCAACAACAGGTTCCAAGCCTTACAAGATCTACTGAAAGAAGAAGAAACTACTATGGAGGACAACTGGAAAAGCATCAAGGAAGCATTAACTTCAACGTGTCAAGAGGTTCTCGGTCTAAAGAAATACCATCATAAGGAATGGATCTCTACAGAAACACTGGACAAGATCAAAGAAAGGAAGAACAAGAAGGCAGCAATAAACAACAGCCGAACACGAGCATAGAAAGTCCAAGCACAAGCTGAATACATAGAAGCAAACAAACAAGTGAAGAGGAGCATTAGAGCCGACAAGAAGAAATACGTGGAAGAACTAGCAACGACGGCAGAAAAAGCTGCTAGAGAAGGAAATATGAAACAACTTCACGATACAACGAAGAAACTAGCAGGGAATTACAGTAAACCAGAGAGGCCGGTCAAAGACAAAGAAGGTAAGCCAATCACCGAAATTCAACAACAGCGTAACAGATGGGTACAGTACTTCGAGGAACTCCTGAATAGGCCGGCTCTAATGGTTCCACCGGACATCGAAGCAGCACATATAGATCTTGCTATAGATGTCAATCCACCAACTACGGAAGAAATTAGAATGGCCGTCAGACAAATCAAGAACGGGAAAGCAGCAGGACCCGACAACATACCAGCTGAAGCACTGAAATCAGACATCGAAACAACCACAAGCATGCTTTATCTTCTATTCAAAAAGATTTGGGAGGAGGAACAAGTGCCGATGGACTGGAAAGAAGGACACCTCGTCAAGATTCCAAAAAAGGAGATCTGAGCAAATGTGAAAACTACAGAGGCATAACACTACTGTCAATACCAGGGAAAGTCTTCAACAGAGTGTTGCTGAACCGGATGAAGGATGCAGTAGACGCTCAACTTCGAGATCAACAAGCTGGATTCCGTAAGGATCGGTCGTGCACAGACCAAATTGCAACACTATGGATCATCGTCGAACAATCAGTTGAGTGGAACTCATCATTATACATCAACTTCATTGATTATGAAAAGGCATTCGACAGTGTAGATAGGAGGACGTTATGGAAACTCCTTCGACACTACGGAGTTCCTGAGAAGATTGTCAATATTATCCGGAACTCATACGACGGATTACAGTGCAAGGTCGTGCATGGAGGACAGCTGACAGATGCATTCCAAGTAAGGACCGGGGTCAGACAAGGCTGTTTACTCTCTCCCTTCCTCTTTCTTCTGGTGGTCGACTGGATTATGAAGACCTCGACATCTGAAGGAAAACACGGAATACAATGGACAGCTCAGAACCAATTAGACGATCTGGACTTCGCAGATGACCTAGCCCTCCTATCACGTGCACACGAACAGATGCAGATGAAGACAGCCAGTGTAGCAGCAGTCTCTGCATCAGTAGGCCTCAGCATACACAAAGGGAAAACCAAGGTCCTCAAATTCAAAGCGGAGAACAGCAATCCAATCACACTTGATGGCGAAACTCTGGAAGATGTAGAGTCCTTCACATACATGGGAAGCATCATCGATGAACAAGGAGGATCCGATGCAGACGTAAAGGCGAGGATCGGCAAGGCAAGGGTCGCATTCCTACAATTGAAGAACATATGGAACTCAAAACAACTTTCATCCAATATCAAAGTGAGAATCTTCAATACGAACGTCAAGGCAGTTCTACTGTATGGAGCTGAAACTTGGAGAACTACAACAACCACAATCAAAAAAGTACAAGTATTTATAAATAGCTGTCTTCGCAAGATACTCAACATTCATTGGCCGGATACCACCAGCAACAGCCTTCTGTGGGAGAGAACAAACCAACTTCCAGCTGAAGAAGAAATTAGAAGACGATGGAAATGGATAGGACATACATTACGCAAATCGTCAAACTGCATCACGAGGCAAGCCCTAACTTGGAATCCTGAAGGGAAGCGAAAAAGAGGAAGGCCAAAGAACACATTATGTCGGATAATAGAAGCAGATATGAAAACGATGAATTACAACTGGACGGAGCTAGAAAGGATTGCCCAGGACAGGGTTGGATGGAGAATGCTGGTGAGCGCCCTATGCTCCTTCACGAGGAGTAACAGGCGTAAGTAAGTAAGTAAGTTTATTTTGCCGATATGGTATGGCTAAATGGATACCTACACCATAAGTCGAATAATTTATGATGCCTTTTTTGAGTCTAACCTAAAGGATTAAGATATGAGTGTACGATGTTTTCCACCATCCCTTTTTATTGCCTACAGTGAAAACTACGATAATGCCTTAGGTTTCTGAACATGTAAAGAACATGAATACTGGTATGATCATTCTAGAAGCAACTGTGACGAGATTGCTTGGTGGAAGTAATTATGCATTATCTAAAAGGCGTTTTGACATGAGGTATCCAAATTATGTTGTCTTAATTACGATCTTCCGTGTAACTACATGCATTTACATAGTAGGATAAGACGAATTGATATTTTTGAAATAAAGTTAGCTTGGTGAATTGAGAAACCTAACTTATCAAGTATAAGATTTGTGCATTCATCTTTGAGCCACACCGTTAGTGTGAGGGTTGATTATACCATATGATTGCCCAAACCAAAATAGGCGGTGACAGAATGATCACACATCAAGGTAACGTCTAACACATTTGACAGTGATGATTTGGTACTTGCCTCAGAAATTCTAAAAACACCTTTCCTACCTGAGAATACGGAATATAGGGTTATAGACTACGTTATTTGTCTAACCTAATACGATTATGGACAATTTGTATCCGGTATTTGTACGATTAATACTGACATCCATGATACGTAAATAACGGGCTTACGTGGAATTAACTTACACAATCCTAATGTATGGTTCTTTATTTCAGAACCAGAAATTTAAACGATTAAGGAATGTATTATCTTAAAGTAATTGAATCTGAAAATGATTCTGAAATCCGAATCTATGATTTGTTGTTAAAAATTACGCCGCAAGTACAAAGCGGATTAGTGAGTATGGTGAAAAATTTACATGCAGACACAAACATATTTTGACGGAGATACACTCCGATCCTGTGATTCAACAGGTTAAGTATTTAACTTTTATTCCATGAGTAACTGACTACAACAACTTTTCATCTATTTCGCTCTGGACAGCCGAGTAATACTAAAGGTAGATTCATAGACGAGCATGTTGTTCAAATGGTATGTAATTAACACTGATTACTGTCCTTAAGAAAAAGATGAATACAAATTCCATTTACTATACCAGTTATTTCTAAACACGTAAGGAACTGAGGCTTCGAAAGGAAGTGTATATTGTACTAAACTACTAGTCAGCAAATCAAAATAAAGAACTAATGTCATTGTTTAGTGGGTGCAGATAAAATTTACCAATGACAGCCTTTGGACAAAAATCCATGATACACTGATTAGGTATTGATGTATGAATTCGTTGATCTATGCATACATTTGCTAACTGTTTGTGAGGATCAAATATTTTTTACGTTGAACTAACCAGGTAGCTGTGAAATATAACTGCGACAAATTGTTATGAAAATAAAGGATTACATGTTTTGAAAATTGACGTTAAGGAGCATTTATAAACTTACGATTTCGAGGATCAGACCAAAGGAATGAAGCTTGATAAGGGAAATAATTACGATAAAACTTTTTATATATTTGAATTTCAAATTAAAACCATGCAATCAAAAAGTTACATAAATGAGTAGAAAAAGGTATTTCTAACATAATAATATTCATAAAAACATTATCACTTGAGAAAAACCTTATATATACAACATCCACCCACCGTGTCGAAAGTGATAAAGACAACCGAGAGAGTGGATTTTCGAGTTTACGCTTGACCGATAGCGAGAATATCTTCCAGACAGCTTAATGAACTCTGTCAGCCAAATAACATGTAAGAACATGTTATGACTGAAAAATTATTTGCTGCGTATTAAGGGGGGCGAATTATTGATCGGACCAAAAACGCACAAACACGTAGAACGACCTAGGGTTCTGATTGGTCCTGCTTCCCTGTCTAGCCCAGTTAGTTGAGTCCAGAAGACAAGCCACAGCCTCGGAGATATGAATCATTATATTTCAAACATACTTTGTTTATATACCAATCAAGCATACTACATCGTACCATAAAATGGAAAACAACATTTTGTACAATATTCAACAAGTGAACAGATATCGACCAATAGGCAATGTCCATTTAAAGTCCAAGGACACCATTGGACTTAGCATGATAATTATTGGTTTATTCCTCTGCATCCACAACAGAACATTTGTGATTTCTATCAGTAATAGCTTTATCTTGAGTCAGAACAACATGGATGATTAAAGACAATTCATGTCACTAAGCCAAAACTTAAAAATAAATATCCAAATTCCAGGCTGGATGATAATCTGAAGTAACCAAGCGACTAGGGTCAACAGATCATAGGCTCTAATTTCCATGTATCTCAGTCAGTCAGTCAGTCAGCTACAACGTAGGACCAGGCACATATGTGCATCGGTCCAGGTTGCCATACCTCATTAGCACAACAAGATGAACACCGGATTCATAGGAGTGGTTAGGTCAAAGGTTGCAATAAGGATATAGTATAGGAAGGAAGAATTAGTTCGTATGAAGTGATTTTAATCTCTTAGTTTAAGGGAAGACAAAGAGTGTATACACCGACGCCATTGTGATCGATTCTGAGCCATGTCACCAAGAGTCTCCAACCATTGGTTACGATAGTCACGCGGACCCCAACCAAGTAGTCTGCATCTACCAACATGGCTAAGACTAGAAGTTAGTGACTTCAAGCACTGATGCCACGTTTTGGTTTGGCCGCCCCTAACTTTCTTCCAACCATCCCCTACACCGGTTAGCATTGCACGTCGTGGTAATCGGTGTTCAGGCATACGTAATACGTGGCCCAACCATCTCAGTCGATGAAGATTCATAACCTCATCAACTGATTTACCATCATTCCCTAATACCCTGCGTCTAACCTCACTATTACTTACCCGGTGATCCCAGCAGATGCCAGCAATATTTCTAAGGCATCTGTGGTCAAATACTTGTAGCTTACGGGTGTCTTCTACTCTTAAAGGCCATGTTTCGCTGCCGTAAACTAGAACAGAACGGACTGCCGCGCAGTATACTCGTCCTTTTATTGATAGACGGATATCTCGCCTCCGCCAAAGGTGACGTAAGTTGGCAAAAGCCAAGCGAGCTTTTCGAATCCGTGCTGAGATTTCGTCAGACACCAACCCATTAGGGCTGATCAGACTTCCAAGATAAGTGAAGTTGTCAACGCGTTCGACTACTTCACTCCCTATCCTTAGTTCAGGTGTTAACGCACACCAGTCCTGAAGCAACAACTTGCATTTAGAGGGAGAGAAGCGCATCCCAAACATTCTGGCATTGTTGCTTAGTGCTACCAGAAGACTCTGCATTTTGTCAGCGTCTTCACCAAACAGGACTATATCATCTGCGTATTCTAAGTCGATAAGTGGACCTCCTGGAAGGAGATCAATACCCGAGAATTCAGTCGACGAGAGTGTTATTTCCATCAATAGGTCTATGATGAAGTTAAACAAAAATGGAGAAAGTGGACAGCCTTGACGGACACTTGAAGTTGCAAAAGTAGATGACAGTTCGCCATAAGCTCTGACTCGACTAGTAGTGTTCGAGTAAAGAGCCTTTATAAGGTTTATGTACTTCTGAGGTACGCCTTTCAATGACAGACACTGCCACAGAGTCTCGCGGTCTACAGAGTCAAACGCTGCTTTTAAGTCAAGAAAGACCACCATCGTCGGACGCCGATAGGTATGCCTGTGTTCTAGAACCTGACGAATGGTGAATATGTGGTCGATGCAGCCACGACCAGGTCTAAAGCCAGCTTGGTTCTCTCGAGTTTGTAGTTCACGAGTCTTAGTTAGGCGTCTGATAATTATCGAGGCCAGTATTTTAGATACTATGTTTGTTAAACTAATCCCTCTGTGGTTGTCACAGGATGATTTTGACCCTTTCTTATATATTGGGACGATGAGTGATTGCGACCAGTCAGATGGGATAAAGTCTAATTCCCAGATCTTAGCTAAAATATTAGTCAACCTAATCGCTAAAATTGGACCACCATCCTTAAAGACCTCTGGAGCCAATCCATCTGGACCAGCTGCCCTTCCTCGTTTCAGATTAACTATAGCCTTTTGAACTTCAGCAAGAGTTGGGGGACCTACTTCAATGTTCCATTCACATTGTCTGGGAATGGAGGGTAGTTGGAGAGTAGCTGAAGGCCAGCTGAACTGTTCTCTAAAATGTTCCGCCCATCGTTCTAAGCGTCTGGACTGGGAGCAGATGAGAGTATCATCTTTTTCCGAAATAATCTCACTTACACTTGACTTATTAATTCCAGTTTCTTTTATTAGTCTGTAAAGCTGTCTTGTGTTCCCTATAGTCGCCGCCTTTTCCATCTCTTTTGCTTTCGTTACCCACCACTGCTCACGGTCGTTCCTTAGACTTTTTCTTAACCTAGATCTGATTTGTTTTCGCTCTTCATCATGTTCAGAACCTGATGGGACGAGTTTGCGAGAATCCATCAGTGTGACAGACCTTGAAGAAATCCACTGGTTCCTTGCAACTCTGTGGTTTAAGTCACTAATAGATGTCACTGCTGTTTCCATAGCTGATTGTATGCCCTTCCAAGCAACATCTGGGTCAGCCTCGTCTTCACAACTACCTAAGTGTGACCTCAGTTGTTCCTGGAACCTACTTTTGGTTTTCTCGTTACTCAACTCAGTTCTAACGGGTCTTTTTAATGTGGATTTTTTGCGTCCAGTGAGGCGCAAGCAGATGCGTGCCCGTATTAGGGCATGGTCGGAGTCCAAGCAGGTACTCCAGAATGAGCGACAATCTTCTACCGACCCTCTCCAACGATGACTGATGGCAATATGGTCTATTTGAGTCCATCGTTGGTTTGGTGTAGGGGGTCGCCATGTTAGACGATGTCTCTCCTTATGCTTAAAATTTGTGTTTGCTAAAAATAAACGATTGTCTGAGCATAGCTGCAGCAGACGATCACCATTATCTGTTCGCTGTGTCGGAATACTAAAATATCCACCTAAATGCCTTTCTGTTTGGTTTAAGCTACCTATCTGAGCATTAAAATCACCTGCTACGAGTACTATGTCTGAGCGTTTAGCTTTCTGAAGAAGTTCAGAAAGCTTTCTGTAAAATTCATCTTTCACTTCATCTGAGCTGCAGTCAGTGGGAGCGTAGACAGAAACGACAAAAAGGCAACGACGTGTGTCCCTATCTTTCCGAGTTCTTACGTAGCCGTTCAGCCGAACAGCACATAGACGACTGTTGACGGGGATCCACTCTAGCAGTGCTTGTTCGGCCCTCATGCTTAGTGCTATGCCTACACCTGCCAGTCCACGAGAACTGGCCATCGGGTCACCAGATACACGGAGGGTGTATCTCGTTGACTCTCCGTTTTGCCGAGGTGAGGTCAAGTGAATGACCACACTGGGATCCTGTATGCGTGTTTCAGAGACACAGCATACATCAATGGAAAGAGACTCTAGGGTTTTAGCCAAGGAAGCCTGCTGACCGATTTGACATAGAGTGCGTACGTTGAAAGCTCCAATGTGTAGTTTGGAGCGAGGTTTCAGTAGACCTGGGACAGAGTTTTGAGCACTAGAATCGTTGGCTATGGTGACACTTGAGGAGGAAGCCGAAGGAGGAAGTTTAGGGTTGAAAGTCGATGTAGGAGGAATAATAGGAATTGAAGAGGAAGGTTGATTATGAATACAGTGGTCTTGGGTGCTGTTAGAGGTATGAGGGCGGTTATCACTTCCCGGTTGCCCACACCGTGGAAGGGTTCTTCTGGAGGTACCTGAAAAGGAAATTGGATTAGAGGTGGTCTCAGTGACCTGAGAGCGTGACCGCAGTGCCCAAGGGACAACTGCTTGAGGCCGGTCGCGCACGGCCTTTTTGTGGAAGGTTTTCGACGTGTTAGCTCCGTTCTTCAAAGGGCCTTACCGCCGGAGACGGAAATCCGTGAGGTAAGGTGAGGTGTGCATTTTTAGGGTCGACCTTTTCTAACCCCACCCCTCCTTGTGGGAAGGCAGCATCGCTGTCATGCTGGTTGTCTGAAGGAAACACCTTACTGCTGTCACACCTCTGTACAGTCAGCAGTACGACTTCGCCTTCGGACCTTGGGTTTGTTGCTTTTAGTCTTACCGCTCTTCAACCGACCTGTCTGACATGGTAGGACCTTGAGGAACGGTTGTTCCAGCCAGTATAGCTCGGTTGCTTCATCACGATAGGCAAGCCCGACCACCACGTCAAGGTAGCAACAACGGTCTCTACTCTGATTTTGGCGGACAAATTATCTCCAGAGCTGGTTGCCAGTGTCAAGGTTGGTAGAATGATTCCCGACGTAATCTTGGAGGTGATCGTAACCTCTTTTATGGAGAAAATTTGGTTACAAGTCGATATAAACGTCAAGAATAGTAAACATATCCAGGTTTTTGCTTCAGAGACTACATGACAGTTGAAATAAAATCAAAAGGACATTGGAGAAAGGGGTAAAATGACCTAATTTCTTGATAAATGATAGTAATAAAATCCTTTGTGAATCAAAAGCTTTAAGATAAATGGTTCATAACACACTGGGGCAAAGAAAGTAACAGTCAAAACCAAAGTTTGCTACAATAACACTGGCAGCATGCCAAATAACTGAGTTAAGTTCAGTAATGTAGGTGATCCATAAGAGCCAGTAACTAGCTCAATGATAGAAAAGTAGATCGTGTTTGACAAAATTGATAAGAACGTACACCTACTGATTTTTTCAACTCCGAAGAATTGATATTCGCAAGTGGAGGCATTAGCGTCCTTCACATGTGAACCCTAAGTCCATCAGTTGAGGAAATCCTGACACATGAAAGACTATACTATCAATTAAAATGAAGAGTAGGATAGTAAGGTAATCGAAGTATACAAACCACGCTAATTTTCCCTTAAAACCAGAGATTCTGGTCACACAAAAAAACGCAGTCACCTCGAAGATTTCGATACACCATTCATTAATTGGGAGAATATTATGGAACTGAAGTTCACCGAATCGATAAATCACAAACTATTGAAACCCATTGTCACCTAAGTCCTCGATTAGAACACTTGGACGACAACCAAGTGCCACTCTTAACACTCACTCTTGATTCTTGTTCTAGTCCTCTCAACAAAGTTACGTTATATGTGTTCCGTACGTGTCACGTCTTAGAATGAATAAACAGTTGTAATCATTAAAATTCATATCTGCTACTGTCATTCTGAGTGGCAAACGACTGTTATAACGTATGAGATCTGTCACTGTTAGCAGTTATTTCGGAAGATCATGCAGAAGACTGTGAAATCGACTTTGAGATATTTGGAAAAAATCAAGGCACATTATTTATCTAAGCAGTAGTAAACAGTGGAACATTACTGCTCCTTGCACGAAAGTAGAGTATTTTTGGATCGGTCCAAATTAAGTAAACTGTAACAGTTCACAGGGTATAAATATACGTCAAACGCGAGAGGGTACTCAAAATCACATTACCACGTAGGCTAAAGTCTAAGCTGCGTAAACGTAATGCAATAAGACTTTTTCCGATATGCTTTGTTTGCGATTATAAGTTCTCATGCTTCATATTTGTTCTGATTGGCCAATTATATACGATAACCGAGCGTAACTAAGCGCATCGGAAAATGCTGAAAACATATCTTGAGCCCAATTTCTGAGAAATTCAGGATGAACGACTATAATGATTGGTACATATTTTCCTTTGCATAACCACTAAAGGGGAAGACATTACTACAGACTTCGAACATAATATACTATGTAATAAAGGACTTCGTAATCGTATTCGTTTAAGGATGAATACAAGGAACCACTAATTGAAACCTAACACGCTTTTTTCAGAAAACTTAAGGATGGATATAAGACAACGTTAATAATATTACAAATTTTGCGTTAAAAATTCTTTGCTGTAATTAAAAGAGATCATGCCTGGTTTTCTTGGCAACGTAAGCTAGAAATATGTAGACAATGGAGATATAAAGTGCACAAACATAAGACTAAAAGGTCATACCGAATTTACACCAATTATGAGTAGTTCAAAACCAGATAATTCAAGTAAGTCTGACTCACTGAAAAACTTCACGATTCCAAAGAGCAAGCTACAACCCAATCGAAAAGGTTCAAATAAAAACAAAGCAGTAGACCACCACCAACTATGAGTGCTATTTCTTGACCTCAGTATCCGCTGATTAGGAGGAATTAACTCAACCTGAGGAGTTAATTGAAAAGTACAGAGCAAACCTGTGGTACGGACGAAATACGTGAAGCAGTACTTCGTTGTCTTAAACCAGAGTCTTCAAATCCCATTAATTTATGCACAGCACGCTGAAAACTGATTATTAACTTTCAAGACACACCTCTAAGTTCCAAGAGCTTTCCTCCAAAAGCTTTAGTGCATCCAAGTAACCTATTCCACCAGCGATTTCCCTTAAGTGCTGGACATCCTGAGCTTCTGATTCAGACAGAGCATGCGCCTCATCTATATTATCGTTACCCGACATCTCAGTTGAAGTGTAGTGGCAGAATTTTGAAAAGTCACAAGTCACCCGTTGTTTAATTTTCAATGAAGTCAGCATCCATTACAAGCACGGAGTGAAAACTAGTCTCTTTGAAGCATCATCATAACTGTGGTGATTGTATCCTGGTCTCTGATAAGCGTAAACTGACGAATATAAACTTCCAGTTTTAGTCGTATTACTGAACTTCACAGGTAGTAAAAGGGAACTGTTATGAATTCATATACCTAAAAAAATAAGTGAAATTAAATACTCTACAAGGTCTGAGCAATGATTCTAGCTAGTAAACTGCATGAGAAGCAAGGGCATGATTTAAATAGGTTCAAACGGTTCAAATGGTTGTGGACGGAATAGAAGAAGCTTTCGCTTAACAGGCTTCCGTGTCTAGTAGAAGGGGATCACGAAATCCTCCAGGCAGGAACCTAGGTATGTTAACAATAAAAGAGGAAAAGAAATTGATAAATCATAGTGTGACGCTGTCCTTGGTCCTTAAGAATAGGTCAAGTTGCCTCTTGAAGGACTCCTGAGAAGTCGCTTGGACTAACTCGGCCGGCAGTGAATTCCAGCTTTTGACAACTCTTAAGGAGGAGAAGTTGTGTCTACACTCCGTCTTGCTATGTTGTGTTTCCAGTTTCTGGGTGTTACCCCTTAGGTTAATATTCGAACTAAGCTTAAGTAGGTGTTTAAGAGGATGTCCAGAAGTGTTAAAAATACTATAAGCCATTAATAAATCACCTCTAAGACGCCTATATTCTAGTGGGCAAAGGTCTAGTGAACGGAGGCGTTCTTCGTAAGGCTTAGATTTGAGTCCGCGAACTGATTTCGTGGCTCGCCGTTGGATACGCTCCAAAGTGACCTTGTCTCTTTGGAGTGAGGGGGGGAGTACTATGTTTCTGTACTCTAAATGGCGACAGATGAAACTATTGAAGATTGTGTGGAAAGTTCTTCCGTCAAACTGAATGGATTTTTTAGCTGATGAAGTGAAGATTGTTTTGTACAATGTATTTGATGATTTCGTGAAGAGAACTTCGAAAACGAAAAGCGAGAAATTGACGGAGTGCTTAAAGGACACTCTTAATCTTTGTGGGATTGAATTAAAAACAACTCTAAGTAAGCGGTTCAAGCCTCTTATAACCAGACATCGTAATCGTAGATCTACTATTACGATTCGAATCTTCTGCACATTTTCTGTTGTGATTAATTGAGTAAAGTGTCTTATCAAAATGACGATGGTTCATTAGCACCTCTTCGGACGTTGACTGTCGCACTGATTTGAGTGACCTGATTTTTGTAACACCCCAATAATGGTACAAACATCCAGCGCTTCACTGAAAACCGAGAGGAGTTATAATGGACCAAAAAATGTGTATAGAAAGCTACAAAATCCATAATATATCTCTTCGGCTCTATCTGAGATATCCGAAATCAATTCACTTTTCGCACTATATCAAAGACAAAAAGAGTAATATTGGTCTGCTTATAGTTATGTATTTGTTGTTGAGTTTGAAGAGTAGCTAAGTTATACCAGCTTTCCACCCAAAGACTACATTCATTGTGTATTGTCAAGCATAATTTGCTCTTTGACTTTTGTAGTACTATAATACTAACATTTTATTTCTCTATCTAACGACTGTACTTCAGTGCTCTTTTCGATGGTAAAATATAGATCCATCGTTCTAAAGATCGTCTTGGTAAGAATTAGATTGTAACGTAAAACTTATTTGATTCGGCTGAGAAGTTAAACCAGAAAGTTGCAGGAAAAGCCGATTTTCTATTGTGAGTGGAATGCATGCTCATTTATATGGCGAAGTGAATTATCTAAGCTTGCTAGCGGTTGTACGGGATGTGGAGCACGGCGTACCACCCACGATCTGGTGCGGATTCATGACCGAGAGCCTTTAGCTAGATGAGTTCATTAAAACTAATGCGGTTAGCATCAAAGGTCGAAGGCTTAAAGAGCTGTTGATTTTGAGTATTTATTTACCGCTACATAAAAACTTCTTTCAGACGTTCAGACAAACTGCAAGAGGTGCGGCATATGTAAGGCTTCACTGTTTCTTTAATTCAGCCAAAATGTGATTCAACATTTACAGACATGAATGATGCAAGCGAACATACAGAAACATGTATACTATTATGTCCACATGCTTTGGGTCACATATGTAAGTGATAAAATTACCGGGAAGCATAAAACTATTTATCTGTCTGAAGGTTAGTATAAAGCGTCCAGGCACATAACAACATTTATTATCATAATATACGTGTATCGTGATGAAAACACGTGGCAAAGAACATAACAGCCAGAAGTATTTTTTACCATGCTTCAGTGTAATTGATATTTAAAGTTATATACAACCCGAATTACTGTAGAAAACACTCCTGTGCAAATGATCACAGTTTGCTGTTTCGAGCCATATTACTGTAGCTTACGCGATCACTGATGTATTTTTCGGTCTCTAAACTTCGTAAAGTGGTCATATATGTAGTATTCTAAATGCTAAGTGCTAACTGTCAATGAAATTACTCCAACTTGTCAAAGTTCCTCTGGTGATGATAATCTTGATGACAACCTTTCTTTCCAATCTAAAAATAATCGTACTGTTCTTACTTCTTAAATTTATATTCATCTCCGCCTGTAGCTCTTCTAGAGTTACTCCCGGTCCCAAGCCCGGGTAAAGGAGGAGGGTTGGGCATGGGGTTAGCGTCCCCATCCCGTAGAAAACTAACTCGCTAAAAAAACGCTTACCAGAAAAAGTAATTCAAACCATTTTAACTCTGCCCTGAGAGTTAGAAGGTCTTCATTTAGAAGAATTATGACGCTTCATGGTGAAAGCCGAGTTCCTTCGGAAGCCACGACGCCGATGCCCCTTCTAACAACCAGAGCAAAAATTTTTATAGGTACATGGAACGTTCGAACAATGTGGGAAACCGGGAAGACCAGTCAAATATCAATGGAAATGAGGAGATACAACTTAGCAGTACTGGGAATCAGCGAAACTCACTGGACCCAAGCTGGACAGAAAAGACTAGCTACAGGAGAGATGCTGCTATACTCCGGTCACGAAGAGGAAAATGCTCCACACACTCAGGGAGTTGCTCTAATGCTGTCCAAAGTAGCACGAAATGCACTTGTAGGATGGGAATCCCACGGATCCAGAATCATCAAAGCATTATTCAAAACAAAGAAGGAGGGGATCTTAATGAATATTATCCAATGTTATGCACCCACCAATGATAGCAACGACGACATTAAAGATCAGTTCTACGAGCGGCTACAGTCAGTCATTGAGAAATGCCCAGGAAAGGACCTCACCATTCTAATGGGAGATCTAAATGCCAAAGTCGGAATAGACAACATCGGATATAAAGATATTATGGGGCAACATGGACTGGGAGAGAGGAACGAAAATGGAGAAAGATTTGCAAATTTGTGTGCATTCAACAAATTGGTCATAGGAGGCACAATATTTACACACAAGCGTATACACAAGGCTACATGGATCTCACCGGACCACACTACAGAGAACCAGATAGACCATATTTGCATCAACAAAAAATTCCGAAGGACAATGGAAGATGTGAGAACCAGGAGAGGTGCTGACGTAGCTTCAGATCACCACCTAGTTGTAGCCAATTTAAAACTGAAGCTAAAAAAGAACTGGACAAATGGACAAACAGCAATACAAAGGTTCAATACAGCCTTCCTTCGAGATACTGTCAAACTCAATGAATTCAAGATAGCTCTCAACAACAGGTTCCAAGCCTTACAAGATCTACTGAAAGAAGAAGAAACTACTATGGAGGACAACTGGAAAAGCATCAAGGAAGCATTAACTTCAACGTGTCAAGAGGTTCTCGGTCTAAAGAAATACCATCATAAGGAATGGATCTCTACAGAAACACTGGACAAGATCAAAGAAAGGAAGAACAAGAAGGCAGCAATAAACAACAGCCGAACACGAGCATAGAAAGTCCAAGCACAAGCTGAATACATAGAAGCAAACAAACAAGTGAAGAGGAGCATTAGAGCCGACAAGAAGAAATACGTGGAAGAACTAGCAACGACGGCAGAAAAAGCTGCTAGAGAAGGAAATATGAAACAACTTCACGATACAACGAAGAAACTAGCAGGGAATTACAGTAAACCAGAGAGGCCGGTCAAAGACAAAGAAGGCAAGCCAATCACCGAAATTCAACAACAGCGTAACAGATGGGTACAGTACTTCGAGGAACTCCTGAATAGGCCGGCTCTAATGGTTCCACCGGACATCGAAGCAGCACATATAGATCTTGCTATAGATGTCAACCCACCAACTACGGAAGAAATTAGAGCGGCCGTCAGACAAATCAAGAACGGGAAAGCAGCAGGACCCGACAACATACCAGCTGAAGCACTGAAATCAGACGTCGAAGTAACCACAAGCATGCTTTACCCTCTATTCAAAAAGATTTGGGAGGAGGAACAAGTGCCGATGGACTGGAAAGAAGGACACCTCGTCAAGATTCCAAAAAAGGAGATCTGAGCAAATGTGAAAACTACAGAGGCATAACACTACTGTCAATACCAGGGAAAGTCTTCAACAGAGTGTTGCTGAACCGGATGAAGGATGCAGTAGACGCTCAACTTCGAGATCAACAAGCTGGATTCCGTAAGGATCGGTCGTGCACAGACCAAATTGCAACACTATGGATCATCGTCGAACAATCAGTTGAGTGGAACTCATCACTATACATCAACTTCATTGATTATGAAAAGGCATTTGACAGTGTAGATAGGAGGACGTTATGGAAACTTCTCCGACACTACGGAATTCCTGAGAAGATTGTCAATATTATCCGGAACTCATACGACGGATTACAGTGCAAGGTCGTGCATGGAGGACAGCTGACAGATGCATTCCAAGTAAGGACCGGGGTCAGACAAGGCTGTTTACTCTCTCCCTTCCTCTTTCTTCTGGTGGTCGACTGGATTATGAAGACCTCGACATCTGAAGGAAAACACGGAATACAATGGACAGCTCAGAACCAATTAGACGATCTGGACTTCGCAGATGACCTAGCCCTCCTATCACGTGCACACGAACAGATGCAGATGAAGACAGCCAGTGTAGCAGCAGTCTCTGCATCAGTAGGCCTCAGCATACACAAAGGGAAAACCAAGGTCCTCAAATTCTAAGCGGAAAACAGCAATCCAATCACTCTTGATGGCGAAACTCTGGAAGATGTAGAATCCTTCACATACCTGGGAAGCATCGTCGATGAACAAGGAGGATCCGATGCAGACGTAAAGGCGAGGATCGGCAAGGCAAGGGTCGCATTCCTACAATTGAAGAACATATGGAACTCAAAACAACTTTCATCCAATATCAAAGTGAGAATCTTCAATACGAACGTCAAGGCAGTTCTACTGTATGGAGCTGAAACTTGGAGAACTACAACAACCACAATCAAAAAAGTACAAGTATTTATAAATAGCTGTCTTCGCAAGATACTCAACATCCATTGGCCGGATACCATCAGCAATAGCCTTCTGTGGGAGAGAACAAACCAACTTCCAGCTGAAGAGGAAATTAGAAGACGATGGAAATGGATAGGACATACATTACGCAAATCGTCAAACTGTATCACGAAACAAACCCTAACTTGGAATCCTGAATGGAAGCGGAAAAGAGGAAGGCCTAAGAACACATTACGTCGGATAATAGAAGCAGATATGAAAAGGATGAGTTACAACTGGACGGAGCTAGAAAGGATTGCCCAGGACAGGGTTGGATGGAGAATGCTGGTGAGCGGCCTATGCTCCTTCACGAGGAGTAACAGGCGTAAGTAAGTAAGTAAGTAAGTAAGTCCCTTACTTTTAGTTTACATCAGTTGGTTACCACTTCTTTTCCACAGTCATGATCTTATAATTAAAGCAGTAGCAAAGAAACTTTTAAACTTCGTTTTCATGTCTCCTTACGTTTCAAACAAATACAACAATTCGATGGGAGATATTGAGTCCCTTACCTTTCTTATAGTTAGATGATTTAAAGAATAGTTCACGGGAGGACATAATGTGATAGATAACATTCCTAATCCTAACTACAAAACCTAGACACTTCTTAAGCACCTATTGAAAGTATGATTATGGAGGTGAGTCTCCCTTCGGAGAGCACACAGTATACCACGCACCAGTTTTAGAATTATCAGTAGACCTGACCTCAACGGAACACATCAAGAACATCAAAAGACCGAAGTTGGAGGTAGATAACAGAAAACGAAGTTACCACGGCTGCGAAAGCCGAATTATAGGTATATCGTTCAGTTTTACTGAAACTGGTGAGAATTTCATACTGAATTAGCCAGACGCGATCAACCATGAGTTCAGCACGAACAAACACTAAGGAACAAATAACCCCTCCACGGATAGCGACCTTTGGATAGCTTATTTTATGTTAGAAGACAGTTTCGGCAGGAAGCCTCTTGTAGATACTAGAGAGTCACACAAAGTCTCTCAGAATCAAAAAGTAAACCAGAACGACTAACTCAACCTGTTGACCTTCAAGCTGTTGATAAATAATAAAGATCATGACGTTTGTGGCGATATAATTTGATACTATTTTTCAAGTTCAAACTAAAGTACATGTGGATTTTCTCAGTGGCAGCTTTAGATCTTCCAATGAATGAAGGGACAATGAACTGTTATTTGACATCAATAAAAGCTTTAAATCTTCACAAGAACTACACTTATATTTTCTTGTTAGATTTTATGGTCAGAAAATACCTTAATCGTCTGATCACATCGTTTCTAACATCACGGTAGGAAGTAATTGAAGACGGTTAACGTCAGCTAAATACGTCCAAACTTCACATGCAACCAGGGAAAATTGGAATTATAATTTCTATGTGAAATAAAAAAGAAATAATAATAGATTACTTCTCATCATGGTCATGGAATGTTTCAAGGTCAACTTGTCAAGGCCATTTGAACGTATACAGGTCGTCCGTAAGTTTGAAGTCTCGTGAGGCTGTTTACATCAATTATTTCTCATAACAAGATTGTCTTGATACCACGAATTTTCTGTTGATAATTACCATACCTTGATTTCATTTATAAGTGTCAGCGCGTTTTGTATGTTCACTGTGACGTTGCATCATTCGAATCTAGTTAATTAACAAAAACTGATGCATTTGATAATGAAATACTCGACCTAACACTTTACTCACAAATAAGTGTATAGTTTGTTAGATTCAAAATGTTTGTGTTGAATGCCATATTACCTCTTCTCTTCCGTTCTTTTCACATAGACTGGGCAGTTGTGTTATGATCAAAACAATTATTATTCTGCTCTGCGTAACAATTATAATACTGCACTGTCAATTATTATTTACGTCCATTTTATCAGATTTATTTGGCGTGAGAAAGTCTCCTGCTTTTCTTATTAGGTGTTTCTTCTTGAGAGAGGATTGGATAATAGCCCTAGATAACGGTCTGTCTGTTGATTTGTTATTCATAGATTTTAGCAAAGCATTTGACAAGTTTTCACACTTAGGTTTTATGCGGAAGCTCTTAGGCTTCGGAATAACAGGTGCTTTACAGGAATGGGTAGGAAACTTCTTATGCGACCGCAGAGAGTGAGGGTCAATGGAACGCTGTCTGATTGGAAGCCGGTCAAAAGTGGTGTACCCAAGGCAATATCTTAGGCCCTCCACTTTTCCTTCTCTACGTTAATAAATTACCGCTGTAGCTTAGGTCGTCGACATTATTGTTTGCGGATGACGTGAGAATCTGGAGAACAATAAGAAGTGAGGTTGATCATTTTGATCTCCAAGCTGACTTAGATGAATTAGTTGGATGGGCTCGAAGTTGGGGCTTTGCAGTTAATCCTATGTAGAGTATGCTCATACAAATCTAGTATAGGGTCTCTCTAAACTCCCTTACAATGAGCGCCCAAACCTTTTTCCCTTGTCGTATCATAGGACGCGAGGTGACCTTATACTGGCATTTCGCATCTTCAATTATGATTAGGGTGGTAATGTCTTATCTTGCGGCAAGCCTAGTTTATGAACGCACCAATCAGGTATAAGATAGCAGGTCTCGAATTTTGGCGCAAAACTCACCCATCTATTTGGTTAAATAGAGTTTTGACATTATAGCTGTCAGTCCGTGTGAAAACCCTAAATATAATTCTTAACCCTAACCATAAGAATATTTTCCATAAATGGACAGTTCATCATCATCACCATCAACTGTAAATCCTAATTCTAATTCGTCACACTGGTTTATAATCCTCATTTGGTCCTAGTTATTAAGTTGACCCTCTCAAGGTTACTCTAACGTCGCTAGAAGTTCGTCCATAAATTCTAGCCTCACCCGCCTTGCTTGTGTAAAAATTTCCATGACCTATTGCAAGTCAAGCCCTAAAGTGTCTTATGACCACAGCATCTTTTAACCATGTTCTTCCATTAGGGTCAGGTTTTATTAGTTATCCCTCATAAAGACACTTCAATAAGGCCTTTGGGAATACCCTTATTCCTAATACTAAAAAGTCCTTGCTAAAGCGGTGGTGGCAGAACGCATAATTTCCTGTCAATTTAAATGTGTAAAAATAGCTTCTCAAAAAATACTGAAAGTTCTGAAATAGCCATTTTTCGTATGATAATTTTGTATTTATATGCATCCTTAGCTGCAGTATAGTTTTTAAACTAAAAATTGATGACTGTAGAGCGTTTTCCAGCATTGTTTATGTGTTTGGAATATCATAACCTAGGGAAAAATTTGGGGAATCTTTTATTTATGAACGAACCAATTAGATAGCAGGTATTTGAATTTGACGCGAAATTCAGTCACTCATTTTGTTAAGAACCATTTTGGCATTATAGCTTATATTGGTTCGTGATGAAAACATTAGATCTAATCCCTAACTTAAGCGGTCAACCTTAAATCTTAATCCTAACTCCTCAAACTTATCTATAACCCTCATTTAAACCAAGTAGTTGAACATTCCAAAGTCGTTTTGGCGTTGCTTAAAGGTCTTCCATAAATTGTGGTCCCACCAAAAATGTCATTACATTTTAGTTAATGGACTCCATTTCAACTCAAAACTATCTGAAGCTCAAGTCCTTGTTTTAAGATCTACCAAAGATTATATTTGCGGACTAATGCAATATAATGCAGATATTTACATCCAATAAATTTGGATTCTTTTCGCTTTTGTAAATTGTCATACATCCCTTTTAATAACATTTTATTTTTATTCCCCAAGTTTAAGAGCTTGGTCTCGCCGAAATCAGCCTCCTAAACAACAAATCCTTGCTTCAAAATCATATAAGTCTATTATTATAAAAGGTACTTGCCACCGAAAAAGGTGTGACGTAGATCCATTTCAATAAACGTTTATGTATATTGTCAGAGCTGTTGTCACTTCAAAATATAATTTCCAATATTATAAATCTGGTACCGTCTTGTCAATTGCCCTGTCTTCTCAATGTGACCTGTTCTCCAAATCCAATATAAAGCCCTCAACATCCAGTTAGCCTCACGAAGATAAGTAAAAAGTCAGTTGTACAGAGAACCCTATCTCTGAAAAATAATGTAACACTTGTTTATTTGGTATTGCAATTCGGGTAAGATATACCGCTATTACTTAGTTTTATGTAGGCTAGACGAATCCAATACTACAAATGAAAATAAATTTCAGAAATTAGAGTCAATGAGGCGATTCGTTTCAGTAAAAACGTGTAAACCCGAATACGTTTCTATAACAATGTAAACTATTGTCACACGTAAATGTATTGTATATGCTTAACGAGTTTTCGGTTTGTTTTCTGTCCTTTAGATTCCTGAGTTAATTGTCAGTTTACACTCTGTGTATTCGCTAACAACAGCTTAAGGTATAAGAAAATTTTCTGACGTATAGACTATTGAAGCGGTCCGGCGCTTTTTAGTTGGTTTTGATGGAACGATCTTTACCTCCTTGTTATAGACTTCTCCACACGTCGGTATTACGAAATGACTTCCGAAGGTATGGTATTTTTTGTTTGTTCAATATTACCGACAGACTGGCAATATACATTCTCCTGCTTACTTACTTTTGCTACACACTTTATCATGCCTCACGAAAACCCCTTAGCATTGTTAAGACGGTTCTTCATCGTTCCGGCGTAAATGGACAACTAAGAACTGTTGGTTTCACTTCTGACGGCTGGAAACCGTTTGGTAGTTTTTTTCGTATGGTTGACGGCTGTATTTAGATTCTGACAATTGGAGTCAGTTACTGGGTGGCCTTGAATATATTTATTTGTTTGTTTATGCCGTTTCAATGATTCTAAGGTGAGTCTAAAAGATATTAAACTACTTTATAGTGGCTTTCTTGCAGAAAGAGTCAATTTAAGATACTTCTTATCTATCGGAATGTTTCTTAGTGGAGTTTCAACTTTTGCATTTGGACTGGCTTCATACTTTGAAATTCACTACTATTCATACTTCGTCTTTATACAGGTAAAAAATGTTTAATTGTCACTTCCAGGTGTTTTCTGGTTTTGTTCAAGCTTCTGGATGGCCGGCTGTTGTTACTCTGGTGGGAAATTGGTGGGGCAAAAGCAGGTTTCCAACAAAGTTTCACGTTTAATACTGATTATATATATATATATATAATGTTTACATTTACCACAAGTTCATTTGCGTATGGTTACTAGCAGAGAATTTCCTCTGTCGATAAAAAATGGTTCGGTCCTTATCACTACTAATAGATGAGAGTGGAATAGTGATCCCTTTTGAAACAAAAGTTACATCAGATTCAATCAGCCGATTCCTTGTACTTTTATTTCCAATTAGAACATTAAAAAATCGTTTGTAGTGCAATTAGTGATTAATATACCCTCCCGATTGTAAACTCAGTTTAAATCCTACAAAAGTCAAGTTCACTTTCTTGCAAAGTAATTTCAATTTAGATTGATATCATGAATGGATCAATGTTAGACCACTCAGCAATGCATCAATGGTCCCGCACCAAAGGAACTCGAACCCAGGAACTTCGGTCTCGCGAGCGGACGCTTAATCTTTAGACCACTGAGCCGGCATTCAACGGTGTTAATGTCTAAGTTCAACCAATCCACGATATTGCGCGACCGTCCACTATTGTCTTCAGTGAGTAACGGTCTCACAACAGACACGGTTGATTTCCGCCGGTCACGGCTTCTCACTAGAACTCCAGAAAATTCATCTTGAAGCCAGTCACTAGCGAGCACATGGTAAGTTCAATTTATTATGTAACAATTTGAACTCAGTAAACTGAGTTTGTAGAATGTAGTTTATTATAGACAAGCTTTTCTTTCCTTTTTATTAACGTTCATATTTGTGTTTTTCCTGTTTTCGTATAGACGGGGACTTATTATGGGTCTTTGGAATTCTCATACAAGTTTAGGAAATATCATAGGTTCCGTCATTGCCGGAATCTATGTTGAAACAAACTGGGGGGCTTCTTTTTATCTCCCCGGTCTTATCATGATGGTTGGGGCGTTGGTTGTCTACCTGACAGTTATAGAGCATCCTAACATGGTCTATAACTCGGCTAGTTCCGAAAAAACAGGTACTCAAATTCCAATATCAGGAAGCATATATGGGGTAATTATCTATTCGTTCATAGATTTTTATAGCTTATTGTGAGGTAACTTGCGAAAGTTAATTCGTTTTAGAAATAAACACTGGCATCAGTAGGAATAAAATGTTATACAGACAAAAGCTTTGATTGTATGTATATATTAACAAGTAGTCTTCAAAATGCATCGTTCATTATTACATTCACTACGTGAACTTGGGATCCGTGTTGACTTCCGAATACTGTTATGAATGTCCGTTATTCCTTATTTTTTCCAATCGCGCTGTTCGAATGCAACCGTAAGCTTTTACTAAACGTAATTTGATAAATAATCCTTGTAGAAACAAAGTATAAACCATCCTATATGAATTGACGATTTATCACAGCTTAAATGAGTCGTATACACAATTGCCAACTCATCATAAAGCTGACTATTCAAAGACCCATTTATGTCATATATCTCAACCGTTTATTTCGGTCCACTGATTTTATTGATAATACCAGTATGATGTCTGTTAGTTACTTGTCGTCAGTCAGTAGTTTTAATTACTGTCTGTTTCTTGGAGGATATAAGTAATATAGTCTAGTTAGTACATGCTTCACTCTCCACTTTATAAGCTTTTGTAGTTTATTTATCAATTAATATAATCATTCTTAAAAGTAGAAATTCTTTAATATGGTGGTTTTAGGGTTCACAACAAAATACTTTATTCGAACATGGTTAACGAGTAGCAACATTTTATGTGGCATGTAAAAAACCAATTCCACCTCTGTGGGTTATTTTCCATGTGCTGTACTCATGAAGCACTCTTCCACTTAGAGCATCGATTACTTTTACGATTTTCCATACCGATTACAAGTCTAAATTAACTCTGAGTTCATAAGATTGGATCAATTTATGTTTTCTTTTGTAGCTCCGTTTGCTCCAGCTTCTTCGTGTTGAATTATATATGATCATAATAAAGAATCTTCATCTATTTTTTTTCATTACTTTAGCTGAATAGAGACAGTGGAAGTTACTGTGATATAATTAACGTTCATTTACGGGTAACTCATTTACATACAGCAGATTTATTCCCTCGATTTTAAACTGTACGGCTTGTATAGTGGACAGTGTTACCACCCGGACTCCTACTATCCCAACCAAGTTTCATGAATGGTATTACTATTGCTTAATCTAGGGATTCTGAAAAATTACATGAAAGGCATTACAACATTAAGTTTATCAGTCGATAAAACAAAAAAATTGTAGGTAATATTTCTACTAATTTTACATAATACAGACCGTTACATTACCCTGTTGTTATGATACAAAAGAGAGATTTGTTAATTACTTCACAATGATAGTAACTGTCCAAATAGTTCGCGTAACTTCAATTTAACTCGTGAGCGGAAATTATTTCGATCAAATGTGTGTAAGACAATAACTTGTAGAGTCTGTTACTATGCCAAGCCTACAGGGGTTATTCTAGCTTCCGGACAGACCAGTTTATTCATTATTTTGGAGTCACATTTTGACTGTTAATTACTTATTAACCTTGACTGTTCTTATATGAGCGTTTGTTGATTGCTTACCTCTAATAACTACGTGTCTGTAGCTTATTTTTGTCTGACTTGAAATATCGAGTCACGCTTCAACAAACCGAGTTGGTTCTTTCGTCTTCTCTGCTTCGCTTTTCATTCTGAATGTCTATTCTGATCAACAAGTGTACGAAATACACGTATTCAAAATTCATCCTCATACCTTACTTATTCTGTTATTCTCTAACGTGAATTAAGTCGATAATTATGTACGAGGCTAGCGGGGATGTATATTTCGATAACATACGATCTTTTTGGAGTCAGAATAAAAGGCTTCAAAAAGTTTATTGAACTCGGCCTTCAAATTGATTTATGTCATACATCAGTTCAGTTGGATGAATAAGAAAACTTATAAATGAATCAGGACTGAAATAAAGTAAATTTTTAATCGTTACATGAAAGTGACTGTTGTTTTTGGACTTATAAATAAGCTTCTTGATTCAAACCGATTGGATTGGAACTCCAGTTACTTAACCTTATCACTAAAACCAAACCAAACCAACTACACTTCTGAATACAAATTATGTTTGTAAATTTGAACGTCACTTGGATTTATGAAGTAATAGCTAACCATTTTTGTGCGCTACTTTGTATCTACCTAATAGTGTTATCGTTGTCCTATTTCTCTACAGGGAAACATCGACCGCGAAAGGTCAGACAAAGATGGTTTGAGGCCTTTAATATCGGATATCGAGGCCACTCGACCAATTAATTTCATTGAAGCTCTTCTATTACCAGTAAGTTTGTCTTAATGTATTTTTAATCCGGCTATACGACTCTAAAGACGTATATTTGCGAATCTCGTTATTTTGTCTAATCTATTGATGCAACACGTTTTCCTTATTATTTCCTAGCATATGCTTTAGTTGTTTTCACAGTGAAGGTTTAATTTCTGAAAAACCAGGAGTCACTGGGTAGGAAATCATACAGGCCAACTGATAAGTGATAAATGATAAAGGTCCCTTTCTATAGGTTGAAATATGGCTTCATTTTCTGACGGATGAAGATGTATATTTATTTGTGAATGTACATATATTGTCTATTTGGTTAGCCAACAAAGGCTTCCTACTCAGTCTTGGTTGTTTTTAGTCAAATAACTAGATGAACTCGCGTATGGGAAGCTTGTATATCAGTAACAGACTCGGATACCATACAAGATAACAATTTCTACTCATTATAAAATTCATTTATCTTGCGTAGAACATTTGTAGCTGAGCTGGATGTTAGTGAAGTTTTGTTTGATTGTGGAGTGTTCATTGCTCTTCTGACAAACTTAGGACTAAGAATCAGATCGAAGGGCTGTAAAATCACAATAAAGAGACAGTTCGCGACGGGTTAAAGGTAAACAATGACCAATAAAGATCGAGGTTGACGGAACAAGTTGTGAGTCATATGTGGAGAAATTCGAATACTTCACTTCTATTTGAAGTTCGTGCTGATGATTTTATTAAGAAGAACAATTAAAGCTCCATAATCAAATCATCCAGAAAACGAAACTCCACCAAAATTCAACTATCTCCACAAAGTCTTTATATACAGTAATTCATTAATATATATATTCGTTAATTATTCTATGAAATTTTCTCCTTATCATTCCTGTTTTTCTGTTTATTTTGCAGAGTGTGTTTACCTACTCACTCTTATTATTCTTTACGAAACTTGTCTCATATACATTTCTTTATTGGTTACCAAACTACTTAACCATTGTTGAACATGTGTCAGCTGAACAGGCTGCTAAACTTTCTGTGTTGTTCGATGTTGGTGGCATAATCGGTGGTGTATTGATAGGATGGTTTAGTGATAGTCAGGTAAGTTTTATTTCTGTCCATTCGACGATTAGAAATAAAAACCTACATATTATGTTGAATTTAATTATTAACTTTCATATGAGTTTTTCCAGACATTGGACTCCATTCAAGTATGTTTATTGTATTGTCCTTAGTAAATCTCTCTGTCAAACTCCAAAAACGATAGAGTGGAGACAAATGCAGAACAAAAGGTTTTTATAGTGAAGAGTAACAGATAATGAAAACAACAGACAAAACAGTAGTGATGCTGGTTGGCTTACGTTAGAAAGTTGTTTGGATTTACTGAATATGCTATGATCAAAAAATATAGACAGTGAATTACGCTGTTACGAAGAGAAGTAAATCTATGATCCATTCTCAAACCAGACATTGAAAATAATGAACTAAACACTTAAAGGAACCGTTGAACTAGCGTTTGCTTGCTAACTGGTAGCTTAGAATACGAGTTTTGTTGGTCATTCCTGATTTGTTTTCTTATCAATGGTGTTCGCTTCAAGTGAAGGATTATGTCATGTAGTAACTTATATCCGAACGAAGAATAAGTGAATGGTAACTACTGGAATCTATTTATGGACTGTTACTATATATATCTTATTGCATAACCATTTTGTAACTATATTATATGCATATTCATATCCCTTTTATTATAATCATCCATTTGACATATTGGCCTTTACTTACTTACTTACTTACTTACTTACTTACTTACTTACTTACTTACTTACTTACTTACTTACTTACTTACTTACTTACTTACTTACTTACTTACTTACTTACTTACTTACTTACTTACTTACTTACTTACTTACTTACTTACTTACTTACTTACTTACTTACTTACTTACTTACTTACTTACTTACTTACTTACTTACTTACTTACTTACTTACTTACTTACTTACTTACTTACTTACTTACTTACTTACTTACTTACTTACTTACTTACTTACTTACTTACTTACTTACTTACTTACTTACTTACTTACTTACTTACTTACTTACTTACTTACTTACTTACTTACTTACTTACTTACTTACTTACTTACTTACTTACTTACTTACTTACTTACTTACTTACTTACTTACTTACTTACTTACTTACTTACTTACTTACTTACTTACTTACTTACTTACTTACTTACTTACTTACTTACTTACTTACTTACTTACTTACTTACTTACTTACTTACTTACTTACTTACTTACTTACTTACTTACTTACTTACTTACTTACTTACTTACTTACTTACTTACTTACTTACTTACTTACTTACTTACTTACTTACTTACTTACTTACTTACTTACTTACTTACTTACTTACTTACTTACTTACTTACTTACTTACTTACTTACTTACTTACTTACTTACTTACTTACTTACTTACTTACTTACTTACTTACTTACTTACTTACTTACTTACTTACTTACTTACTTACTTACTTACTTACTTACTTACTTACTTACTTACTTACTTACTTACTTACTTACTTACTTACTTACTTACTTACTTACTTACTTACTTACTTACTTACTTACTTACTTACTTACTTACTTACTTACTTACTTACTTACTTACTTACTTACTTACTTACTTACTTACTTACTTACTTACTTACTTACTTACTTACTTACTTACTTACTTACTTACTTACTTACTTACTTACTTACTTACTTACTTACTTACTTACTTACTTACTTACTTACTTACTTACTTACTTACTTACTTACTTACTTACTTACTTACTTACTTACTTACTTACTTACTTACTTACTTACTTACTTACTTACTTACTTACTTACTTACTTACTTACTTACTTACTTACTTACTTACTTACTTACTTACTTACTTACTTACTTACTTACTTACTTACTTACTTACTTACTTACTTACTTACTTACTTACTTACTTACTTACTTACTTACTTACTTACTTACTTACTTACTTACTTACTTACTTACTTACTTACTTACTTACTTACTTACTTACTTACTTACTTACTTACTTACTTACTTACTTACTTACTTACTTACTTACTTACTTATTTACCTAGTGATTGCCCCTTGTGATCTTGTATGATTGTTATTTTCTACTTTATAGTGTGATGTAGCCTGATTTGCTTGGATATAAACTGCATATGTCTGGAGTACATGATTCGTATGGTAGAGGCTGATATCGGTGTTCTGAGCTAAACCGGTAGGGTTAGGCGAGAAGCTACTATCTCAGAGGACCAGAAGAACTCGAATGTGATCATAGGCTGCTCGTACTGGTTGACACTTCATTGGTTTGGTACAGGTCTCATGGGCTCCAGAATCCTGAAGTAACAAATGGCATACGAATCTATTATTCGTCATCGGCTACCGTGGGACTGCATCTCCCAAAGTTGCTCCACTGCCTTATGGATTAGACCTCTAGATCAAAGGCTCGGGGTGTGGTGCCCTGAGAAAACTACCTGCTTCCATTTGGGTGCCCGTGCAGTATTCCAGTCCTCAAATCAAATAACGAAGTGTGGTGCATATATACGTGGTACCTCCTTGTACCAATGTTTGTGTGTTTAAATAAATAAAGGGATGTACATGAATCAAAACTCGGAATTATAGTTGGTTATCCCCGAGTATATTGTTCCGTGTATAAAGTTTTGATCGATTGATATTTATGTTGATGGGTGTTCTGTATTTTTGTTTGTTCTAGTCAAATGGACAAAATCTCAACGAAGATGAAAAAACAATAAAAAAACGTGCACTTGCTTGTCTTGTTATGCTAGCTTGTGCGGCACCTTTGGTAAGTTTAAATTGTTAGCGATCTTATTTTTCTAGAAGAGTTGTCTAAACGCATACCTAATGTATTATTTCTTTAGTCTGAAGAATGCATTTATAATCTATTTATACTTAACCTCATTATTTCTTGTCATCTGTGTATTTACATTATATGAATTTATTTTTAAACTGTTTGTTCAAGTAAAATATATAGGTTAGTTGATTACCAAATCTGTCAGCAGGCTTCCTTGGCTAGAACCCTAGAATCTCGTACCATTGATGTATGCTGTGTCTCCGAAACACGCATACAGGATCCCAGTGTGGTCATTCACTTGACCTCATCTCGGCAAAACGGAGAGCCAACGAGATACACCCTCCGTGTATCTGGTGACCCGATGGCTATCTCTCGTGAACTGGCAGGTGTAGGCATAGCACTAAGCACGAGGGCGGAACAAGCACTGTTAGAGTGGATACCCATCAACAGTCGTCTATGTGCTGTTCGGCTAAACGGCTCCGTAAGAACTCAGAAGGATAGAGACACACGTCGTCGCCTTTTTGTCGTTTCTGCCTACGCTCCCACTGACTGCAGCTCAGATGATGTGAAAGATGAATTTTACAGAAAGCTCTCTGAACTTCTTCAGAAAGCTAAACGCTCAGACATAGTACTCGTAGGGGGTGACTTTAATGCTCAGATAGGTAGCTTAAACCAAACAGAAAGGCATTTAGGTGGATATTTTAGCATTCCGGCACAGCGAACAGATAATGGTGACCGTCTGCTGCAACTGTGCTCAGACAATCGTTTGTTTTTAGCAAACACAAACTTTAAGCATAAGGAAAGACATCGTCTAACATGGCGACCCCCTACACCAAGCCAACGATGGACTCAAATAGACTATATTGCCATCAGTCATCGTTGGAGAGGGTCGGTAGAAGATTGTCGCTCATTCTGGAGTACCTGCTTGGACTCCGACCACGCCCTAATACGGGCACGCATCTGCTTGCGCCTCACTGGACGCAAAAAATCCACATTAAAAAGACCCGTTAGAACTGAGTTGAGTAACGAGAAAACCAAAAATAGGTTCCAAGAACAACTGAGTTCACAATTAGGTAGTTCTGAAAACGAGGCTGACCCAGATGTTGCTTGAAAAGACATACAAGCAGCTGTGGAAACAGCAATGAAATCTGTTAGTGACTTAAACCACAGAGTTACAAAGAACCAGTGGATTTCTTCAAAGTCTGTCACACTGATGGATTCTCGCAAACTCGTCCCATCAGGTTCCGAACATGATGAAGAGCGAAAACAAATTAGATCTAGGTTAAGCAAAAGTCTAAGAAACGACCGTGAGGAGTGGTGGGCAACGGAAGCAAAAGGCGGCGACTATAGGAAACACAAGACAGCTCTACAGACTAATAAAAGAAACTGGAATTAATAAATCAAGTGTAAGTCAGACTATTTCGGAAAAAGACGACACTTATCTGCTCCCAGTCCAGACGTGTAGAACGATGGGCGGAACATTTCAGTGAACAGTTCAACTGGCCTTCAGCTACTCTACAAATACCTTCCATTCCCAGACAGTGTGATTGGAACATTGAAGTAGGTCCCCCAACTCTTGCTGAAGTTCAAAAGGCTATAGTTAATCTAAAACGAGGAAGGGCAGCTGGTCCAGATGGATTGGCTCCAGAGGTCTTTAAGGATGGTGGTCCAATTTTAGCGATTAGGTTGACTAATATTTTAGCTAAGATCTGGGAGTCAGACGTTATTCCATCTGACTGGTCACAATCACTTATCGTCACAATATATAAGAAAGGGTTAAAATCATCCTGTGACAACCATAGAGGGATTAGTTTAACTAATATAGTATCTAAAATACTAGCCTCGATAATTATCAGACGCCTAACTAAGACTCGTGAACTGCAAACACGAGGGAATCAAGCTGGCTTCAGACCTGGTCGTGGCTGCATCGACCACATATTCACCATTCGTCAGGTTCTAGAACACAGGCATACTTATCGACGTCCGACAATGGTGGTCTTTCTTGACTTAAAAGCAGCATTTGACTCGGTAGACCGCGAGATTCTGTGGCAGTGTCTGTCAATGAAAGGCGTACCCCAGAAGTACATAAACCTTGTGAAGGCTCTTTACTCAAACACTACTAGTCGAGTCAGAGCTTATGGCGAACTGTCATCTACTTTTGCAACCTCAAGTGGTGTCCGTCAAGGCTGTCCACTTTCCTCATTTTTGTTTAACTTCATTATAGATCTATTGATGAAAATAACATTCTCATCGACTAAATTCTCGGGTATTGATCTCCATCCAGGAGGTCCACTTATCGACTTAGAATACGCAGATGACATAGTCCTGTTTGGTGAAGACGCTGATAAAATGCAGAGTCTTCTGGTAGCACTGAGCAACAATGCCAGAATGTTTGGAATGCGTTTCTCTCCCTCTAAATGCAAATTGTTGCTTCAGGACTGGTCTGCGTTAACACCTGAACTAAGGATAGGGAGTGAAGTAGTCGAACGCGTTGACAACTTCACTTATCTTGGAAGTCTGATCAGCCCTAATGAGTTGGTATCTGACGAGATCTCAGCACGGATTGGAAAAGCTCATTTGGCTTTTGCCAACTTACGTCACCTATGGCGAAGGCGAGATATCCGTCTATCAATAAAAGGACGAGTATACTGCGCGGCAGTCTGTTCTGTCTTACTTTACGGCAGCGAAACATGGCCATTAAGAGTAGAAGACACCCGTAAGCTACTAGTATTTGACCACAGATGCCTTAGAAATATTGCTGGCGTCTGCTGGGATCACCGGGTAAGTAATAGTGAGGTTAGACGCAGGGTATTAGGGAATAATGGTAAATCAGTTGGTGAGGTCGTAAATCTTCATCGACCGAGATGGTTGGGTTATGTGTTACGTATGCGTGACATGACTCAGAATCGATCACAATGGCGTAGGTGTATACACTCTTTGTCTTCCTTTTAACTGTGAGATTAAAATCGCTTCATATCTTTCTTTCTACGTACTAAATCTTTCTTCCTGTACTATGTCCCTATATGGAATCTTTCTTTTATATATTACCACCTCTGAATTAACTACTTTTATGAATCTGGTGTTCATCTTGTTGTGTTAATGAGGTATGGCAACTTGGACTGATGCACATATGCGCCTGGTCCCACGTTGTAGCTGACTGAATCAGAATTTTCATATCTTTATATTATGTACTGAAATTTTCTGACCTATAGTTTCGCGTTTTGTCATTACAGCTATTAGCTTATCGTTCTATGACTTCTGCGAACTCGCTGATGTCGTTAAGTAAGTCAACCCACTATCGTTTAGTTCTTAAAAAAATTTAATTAACCTCAATTGCAATAAGTAATAGGTCATGCATATGTCTACGTAAATGAATTAATCAGAAGTCTACTCGTGTGATTAATGTTATGAATGGTAACTCTTGCGAACTATTTATTGACCAATCCGATAATTATATTTTCACTGTATGATTGTTAAGCAGCTAAACTATGCATATTCATGTTCCTCCTATTATGAGCTTTATTTTGACCCATCGAATTTTATTATACGATATACCGTTATTGATATCTCCCCAGTCTGTTAATTACAGTCTCCCACATTCATAGCCATTTTTGGCTAGATCTTGTACAAATGTCATTTTCTATTTTATGGTACAATGTGGTCTGTTTGGTTAGTATATAAACCCAGTATGCTTGAAATAAATGATTCATATCGCAGAGGCTGAGATTGGTGTTCTGGACTCAAAATGCATGGATAAGCAGGAAAAAGGACTGATAGGGACTTTAAACTGCTCTTGCGGGTTAATGCGTCATTGGTCCGGTCGATAAGCCACTGTTCTCCAATTTGCGTTATCATTACGTTATATATATATTGACAGGAGCATAAGTTATAACAATTAGCACTACTTAATACTACCAGTTTCTTTTCATGCAGATAGGGTCAACTTTCTCCTACAAACATGAATAATACACTTCTTGTAGGGGTACTTATCAGCCTCATATTTATGGTAAACTAACTACACTTTGCACCTCCATCCATATCAAGCCAACCATTTTCTGGACTCTCCAAATATTCTGAAATTTTATGTGGTAGTGTAGCACAGTTTCTTTTAAATCATTGGTAATTTTGATAAAATGTCCTGGTCAACTTTTTTTATCCAACACCAGTGTATCAATCTGAAGCAAAGTTGTTAAAGACTTCATTTTCCTAAGCAAATGCTTCAGTTCTAGTGAGGTGGTTGACCTCTGTTGGTTTGGACTACTTCACATTAAGACTGAAATAACTAAATGTCTTTGAAAAATCAACTGCCTTGGGAGATTAATCTCTTCTCTTGCGTATAATTCTTCATCTTATTTTGATAGCACCACTCGTCTTAATGAATCTCTCTTTATTTTACTGTCTGTGGTTAAAGGTAACTTGATTTGGTAAACAATTATCACAAATCTTACGTTGTGTTCGTTTGTCTTTCTATCTGATAGCGTACTCTTGGTATCTTGTTTATAGTTTTACTTACATGTTGCGGTTCTGCAATCAACGGACCTTATGCATTAGTTACAACTGCTGTATCTGCCGACTTAGGTACTCAGTCGGCCTTGTTAGGACGAACTCGTGCTTTGGCTACAATTACATCTATTATTGATGGAATGGGATCATTGGGTAAGTTGAAAGTACCAGACACTTCATATATTGATCAACGCCATTGCTTCTGTTGCACTTCAGTGTATAAATCGTTTATAAATCATTTTATCGAATTAAATATTTCATAGTTTATTGGATACTTTTAAATTAATATGAATAGTTTAAACTGTTTATTATTCAATCATATACTCAATTTATTGGCTAATATTTCTGTTTTTTTTTAAACACAATTTGGTCTATGGTTCTGTTATGTATCCTGTGAGCAAGTTCCTAATTCCCCCACTTGATCGTTCCAATATTTCTTCAAACCAACCAAATTGTCACATCATATTTTGCAAATCAATCAATCAGTTGATAATATCAACACATTGATTTGATTCTCCTGAAGCTTAAGAAGCTGTTTCTATCACTTTTTCAAATACTTTTGTTTAGCTCGTCATTATATGACATCGCGGGTAAATTTTTAAGTTCTAAAACTAAAGAAGTGTACACGGAACATTTATTCCATAAATATTAAGAGAAGTTTGTTTTAAGGAATGTCGTCGTAACATAAGAAACGATTACTGAGAATTACGCATCAATACTTTGTAAATTGTAGTATGTTTGTTCAATTTTTGGTATCGAAAATATAATTATTAAAATATGAGAATTAATAAAAAAATTGTTGGGAGTTCCAAAATATTTAAAATTTCAATGTTTCATCTTAATTATCATTTACTGCTACACAGTCTTGTCCCCAAATACCCTGGTACGGCCGAAAATGGGGAGAGTCAACTCTCCCTCTCCAAATGCTCTCACATGGCCACGCGCATATAGCCTCTGTCAGGGAAGTCCTACTCACTAACTTCTCGTGGCGGCGGTGTTGTTTACGAAATTGAGAGGACGAAAAGCGAATGTCTGGCGCTTTAACCGGGTTGGTGGATATGGAGAATCCATCTAGGGGAGTTGGAAAACCCTGATTCCAAAACAATGGTGCACATGGGCTCCAGTACCCTGAGGGAACAAATGGCGTATGAACCAATCGTTGGTCACCGACTACCATGGGACTGCAACTCCTTAGGATGCCCCCACTGCCTTGTGGATCAGACCTGTAGGTCGAAGGCTCCGGGTGTGGCTCCCTAAGAAAGCTGCCTGCTTCGGTTTGTGTACCCGTGCAGTATCACAGCCCTCACACATCAAATGAGATCTGTGTGGCTCATATGTATTTGGTGCCTCCTTGTATCTATGTGACTTCCTGCAGTACGATAGACATTGTTTTAATGTTACTATGTGAAATAATGCATTTTATACAAATATTTGTGCAGTTTCTTTCTTAAAATATCCAACGGTTAAGGTATATTTCCCTTTAAAAACTCACGATTTCCTTTGATGAATGATTCTGTCCAATGTATGGTATTATCTTTGTTATGTTTTTATTTACAGAACTGTCCAATCATTATCGATTTTGTTTAGTGATGCACCAGGTTAAAGTGTACCAAAGACAAAATCAGGATCCAATTATTGATTTTCTTAAAAATATTTTTTATCGATAAGGGACAACTTTATTTGTGATGTTTATTTATGCATTACAGGTGCTGCGTTAGGTCCACTTCTGACTGGTTTACTAGTTCCATATGGTTGGTCTGTCGTATTTGCTATGCTTATCACATCCGATCTACTGGCCATGTTAATGTCAATATGGATTGTCGTTAATTCAAGTCGTCGTCAAAATCGTCGAACATATTATCGACTTCAATCAACAATTCCTATTTAATTGGAATTTGTTTTTACTTACAGCAAGAAAAAATAACAGCACAAGTCATATCAGTTTCAAAATAGCTGTGAATATATTTTGTCTTTTTCTTTCACTATGTCATATTGCACCATATATTATTACTTCAACTGTACGTATATAGATACATATATTCTTATGTGGTAATTTTTTTTACAGCCTGTTAGGTTTTTCTCAGAATTTTTTTTGTTACTGAAACGAATGTAACCAACATATCATTGTCGATATTATTGTTTATCATTACTATTATTGTCTTTTATGAATTCAGGGCTTTTTCAGGATTCCATGTATATTCTAGACTTTTCTGCCTTGTTTTTCGGTGTTTCTTCCGCCTATTAATTCTAGATAATACATGCATATATTTACTTACTGATGTCTTACATACTTAGGTGTTTGTTAATCATACTCATTTTGAAAGTGTTATTATCTGTATGAGAGAAAAAACTGAGAAAACTATAATAAATGTTGACTTTTATCATAAAAGTTTGAGAGTATTTGGGATGCAGGCACATCTAGTTGATGAGTCTTTAGTGGGTCGAAATGCTCAATGTGGATCGCGCTGTTAGATATCATCCGACTTTTATGATAGTCATAATTTAGTCGATTCCCCCACCAATCAAAATAATTTTCTAGTTATTTGTAACTACATATGGAATAATTTCTGAAATATATACTGTAAAATTGCAATTTCTTCAAGTAAGCTAAGCTACACTGTTAAAAATGTCTATAGTCGGCAGACTGAACTTTGCGCGCAGAAATGATTTAATGTGAAAAGAGACCTTAAGGATTGCAATAATATGCAAAGTTTTAGCTTCTCAATTACTGAGTTCACTACTTACTGCCAAGTGAACGTTTTTTCGTAAATAAACAATTAAGTTTAAACATGCCACAGACTTGTTTATCTAGAAATCCTAGTCTTTTCATGGTTAACTGCAGATCCGCGGTTCGGAAAATAACTGACAGGTTATTTTACATTATGTACTCTATACGTGTGCTAGAATTTGACAATGTTAAGTCTATTAACTAAGTCACCTTTCTGTAAACTCACTCGCTGGCTGACGAGGTGTTTGGAACCAATCATCAACAAACTTTCTCCCTACAATTTGGTTTCGAATTTGCACAAAACCTTAATGGCCTAAATGCTTCCGATAAATTTATTGGTGTCGTTCAATGTCTCATTTATCTTCACAAGAATTGTTTTGGAAGAAATTGCCAATATTATGTGAATATCCTGAACTCCCTCCTTTACCAATCAATGAATTCAAACAGCTTCTGTTCATGTGCACCGAAAATATACAATTTCAATCTAAAACTGTTGTACCGCCAAATTGATGGAGTAGCCATGGGTAATTTCCTGGGTCCAATTCTGGCTGATATATTTTATGGGGAACCTGGAACAGATGCACGCAATCGAAGGAATCACACTTGTAGATATGTTGGTGACACATTTCTTGTCTGTAACAATCCTAAGCATTCTATGTACCTATTCAATCTTTTCAACAAAAAGTATAATGATATAGATCTTACTATGAGACATGAAGTAGGAGGTATATCCCATTGAATTCAAAGGGCACACTACAGAGATATATCCATCGCAAAAGTACATGGAGTGGAGTTCACCTAAATTACTACAGCTTCTGTATGAGTCACAAAAATGGGATTGTATTAGCCCTTTTTTGACCGCCCTCATAAACTTTGCTCAAAGTAAAGCCTAGAAGAAGAGCTTATCTACGTGAAAATGCATATCCAGAGAAATTCACTAAGTATTTCAAAACCAACGTGTGTTATGTACGACACAGTAGAAAAGAGAACCTGCTTCTTATATCTGATTTTCAAAGGAGATGAAATCACTGGAATAACTAACCGCAGGATAAATGCCGTAATTAAGGTTGCTTATCCATCAGCAAAACACGTTCTACGAAACGAACTGCTCGCTAAAAAAATTGACAGGTTCTATTTTCTCAGTACCTCCAAATGCATATACTGATTTAAATGTATGTGTCAAAGCACATGTACTGGAAGAACAGGGAGAAGAGTACGTGTTCATATTTCGAACAACTTTCCAAAGAATTTGAGACTAAGAGGCACAACGGCTCTAAACAGTACAATAGCTCGGCATTTAATTGATACCAGGCATACCATTGACATTCCACAACCCCTCAAAATTATCAGCAGACAAAAATACGCAGCGTCTCTCCAGTTTGCCGACTCAGTATCAAAGAAAACTGATTTATGTACCCAGAAAGAGACAATAATAAACTTATCACTACCTTGGTAAATCATTTTTTTTGTTATCATGATTATTTTATTAATATTTATATTGTTATGAGGTCTTCCCTAAGCTAATTTTTATTTCATGTCCACCAATATCATCCCTTCATCCATAGGTTTTCATTCACTTAATTCTCTTAACTTATGTAAACTCTTCAAATCCTATTCAATTATTACCCATCTTATCAATTTCTAATTCCAGTAATCTTACGTAAATCTTTTACAACCTCTATAATTATCACATAATCTATCTTAACTGTTTCCAGACCTCATTTACTAATTATTGTCCACCAGGGTGCTTGGTACCTGTGTGATTGCGCCACAGGATTGAGATGTACTATCCAGATTGTGGCGTTTAAACCTATACGGTGTCTGGTTCTCCTGTTAAACGGGATTGAGCTATACTGTTTGGGTTGTCACGTGAAAGTTTGGATAGTATCTGGTTCTCCTGAAAACCAATGTAAAATTACCCTGGCCCACAAGGGTATATTATATAGCTATGGCCCCCAAATGCCCTGGTACGGCCGAAAATGGGGAGAGTCAACTCTCCCTCTCCAAATGCTCTCACATGGCCACGCGCATATAGCCTCTGTCAGGGAAGTCCTACTCACTAACTTCTCGTGGCGGCGGTGTTGTTTACGAAATTGAGAGGACGAAAAGCGAATGTCTGGCGCTTTAACCGGGTTGGTGGATATGGAGAATCCATCTAGGGGAGTTGGAAAACCCTGATTCCAAAACAATGGTGCACATGGGCTCCAGTACCCTGAGGGAACAAATGGCGTATGAACCAATCGTTGGTCACCGACTACCATGGGACTGCAACTCCTTAGGATGCCCCCACTGCCTTGTGGATCAGACCTGTAGATCGAAGGCTCCGGGTGTGGCTCCCTAAGAAAGCTGCCTGCTTCGGTTTGTGTACCCGTGCAGTATCACAGCCCTCACACATCAAATGAGATCTGTGTGGCTCATATGTATTTGGTGCCCTCTTGTACCAGTATTTATGTGTTCAAATGAAATTGCCGAACTTACTCTAATCCCCTATGTTGTTTTGGAGTTTTATCTCCGAATGAAACATCTAACCTATTTGTATTTATAAATATTCTTAATATATGAAATACTCTCGTTTAAACAATATATATCTCCACGGAATTAAACAACAATAATAACACTCAAACTATTTCATTTTATTTTTTTATTCTGAATTTCAATTGAATCATAATACTTTTTTTTAATGGGAAAATATGTTTGTTTTATTTATTAATACATTTGTAAATTTGTTGCTATGTATATATATATTTTTTTTTCTTTTAAAAAACACATCAAAAATACAGTAGGAATGTTAAATTATTAATCTCGATGATGATAGTAGTCATCGAAACAAGCCAACATTTTATCATATATGTGATTTGTTCAGTTTGTGTAAAGTAATATTGATTGAACTGAAGGTTTAGGTATTCTATTTGTGTATGTATGGATGGATGTGATTGTGCTTAATAATGTACAACTGTTTGTTGTTTGTATAACGATACTAATTTCATTTTAAAATTTGTGCTTTGTTCAATTTTTTCTTTGTCTCGATCATCATTCATATGAACAACTAATGAAAACAAGTTTATTTAGAATCAGTTAATTTTAATGAGTGTTTTGCAAAATAAACACATTAAACAAATAATTTTTTTAATAGTTAAGATCATAAGTCAATTGAAGCTAAACCACCATAAAAAACCTGGAAGCACTGGACGGCTGTTTTGTCCTATTGTGGGACTCCACAGCAGTGCATGTCAACGATCCCGCCTTGCGAGATTTGAACCCAGAACCCATCGGTCTCGCACGCGAATGCTTAACCACTAGACCACTGATCCAGCATCCAACGATGTTAATGTCTAACTTCAACTAATCCACGAAAGAATGAGAGTTTGTGGAGATTGTATTAATTTGGTAATAATCATCATTTGCTCACTAGTCACTGGCTTCAAGATAGATTTCCTAGAGTTCTAGTGAGAAGCCGTGACCAGTAGGGTTCAACTGTGTCTATTATGAGGCCAATACTTACTGAAGACAATGGTGGACGGTCGCGCAATATCGTGGATTGGTTGAACTTAGACATTAACATCGTTGGATGCCGGCTCAGTGGTCTAGTGGTTAAGTATTCGCGTGCGAGATCGATGGGTTCTGGGTTCCAATCTCGCAAGGCAGGATCGTTGATGCGCACTGTTGTGGAGTCCCACAATAGGACAAAACAGCCGTCCAGTGATTCCAGGTTTTCCATGGTGGTTTAGCTGTAATTGACTGATGAATTCAAATATTAGAATAGTTTTTAATTGATATCCATTGAGAATTATCAGCTTACAACTATTTACTTATAATAAAATGTAAATATAAAATCTATTCAGTGTATAAATGATCGTAATAAACCGAAACAGTAAATATTTTTCTTTCCTACAATTTACTCTTACAGTTAGTTTACAGTAACTGTTTCAAATATCCAGTAAATGCTGTTAATATTACTGATTTCAAATACAACACAAACGGTACAAATTTCAGGAAAAAATATTTTGTTCGCATTCGTTTTTGACAAAAAATAATGTTTTATAGGTTTCCGAACATTTTTCTGATATCGTTAATATTTAATAAGGGGTCGCGAAAAATTTAAGGGATTGTCACGAAAGGAAATGTTGTTATTCTCATTATATCATGAAATATTCATCCACTTCAACTATTTCATTTGCCGGCGTTATTATTATTATTATTATTATTATTATTATTATTATTATTATTATTATTATTATGAATGTGTAACATAAATTAATTATTTTATTAGTGATGTGTTATACTTAGTAATATATATTTTAAAGGTCGAGACACTGCCTCTATCTCGATGCATGATATAGGCTGGTGTAAGAGTATGTTCAGAGAAAGATAACAGCGATCAAACAAAAATGTGGTATCACCGTATAAAGTTATTGACTGTTGGTCTGAGCTATGTTATTGAATGCAGACTACTTAGTTGGGGTCTGAGCGATTATTGTAATCAATATTTGGAGATGTTGAGTGACGTGGTTTAAAACAGTTTCCTGAGAGGCAAATACATTCACTCTTGAACCCAAGTTTCGAACTTATCTTAAAACTTTTATTCCGCGAACTCATTCCTTAAACTTTTTACTACCTACTCCTGAAAATACTTAGTCCT